TATATATAAAAATTCCATTAACTATACTGCCTGTCAAAGTGTGATAGTATTTGACACTTTGGAATTTTGGAACCTCATAAAATTAAACTGAGGTACAAAAGAAACTAAAATGTATCCATTAGAAAACATCACTCACCTTCAGAGATCACAGCACAAGCACCTTGTCCTCTCAGACCAAAAACACAAATTTTTGGGTCGTTTGCCCAAAAAGAAAAAAACCTTAGAAAACTAACATCTCCTCCCAGGCATCTCTGATCTCCTCCTACCAAAACATCAGACTTCCCCTCTCACCCCTGGATCTGATTGTGCAGGTGATGGGGGAGGGTGGGAGTATATGGTGGGATTCAAGAGAAGTTTACATACAATGAGAAACTTGCCCAGGAAGTCAATACTAATTAACACTTGTTTTATTCCAGTTATCTCACATCTCTCCAGTTTCAGCTAAAATTGATTTCACTTAAAGTCTTATAAAGTGCGACAAATTGGTTTAGCAGGTAAATAGGGGGTTTAGCAAAGATTTTGAAAGGGTTTTGTAAAATGTGTTTTAAAGGTCTGCATCGAAGTAGATGCCAACTTAATGTGAATATGAATTTTCTTTTTTAAGAAACAGTACCCTCCCTGGGAGGTCCTCCCTTAAAGGAACACTTTGTGCTATTTTTAAAAACTATTTTGGAGATATACCACCAAGGAAAGCTCGCTTTGTGTTTGTATATTTGTATGTTTTATCTGGGGGTTATGCGAAATAACAGATTTTAAGCCCTTCCGACCTGCTGTGTACTGCCTTTGCAAGCTCTCCTTTTTAAGTCTGTGCCAGGAATTACACCAATCAGAAGCTTCTCATTGTGCGAGAGTTACAACCGCGCATGTGTACGCAATGGCGTCTTTCCAATGCTTCTCAAGGACCTGCAGCATAGCTCACTGGGAAACTGGGGGGGCATGCGCGTGTTAGCCCAGTGCATCGGTCTCTTCCTTTAGCTCTGTAGGGCTAACAAAAGCAGAAGAATACCGCAGACAACCACAGAGGTGTTTCTGTCCTGCGTTATAAAATTGCTGGAGCCGGGTTACTGTAATAAGATGTTACAGGGTAATAAGGCACTCAGGAGCCGGGTTACTGTAATAAGATGTTACATGGTAATAAGGCACTCAGGGGCCGGGTTACTGTAATAAGATGTTACAGGGTAATAAGGCACTCAGGAGCCGGGTTACTGTAATAAGATGTTACAGGGTAATAAGGCACTCAGGAGCCGGGTTACTGTAATAAGATGTTACAGGGTAATAAGGCACTCAGGAGCCAGGTTACTGTAATAAGATGTTACAGGGTAATAAGGCACTCAGGAGCCGGGTTACTGTTAAGAAGACAGGGACTAATAAGGCACTCAGGAGCCGGGTTACTGTAATAAGATGTTACAGGGTAATAAGGCGCTCAGGAGCCGGGTTACTGTAATAAGATGTTACAGGGTAATAAGGCGCTCAGGAGCCGGGTTACTGTAATGAGATGTTACGGGGTAATAAGGCACTCAGGAGCCGGGTTACTGTAATAAGATGTTACAGGGTAATAAGGCTCAGGAGCCGGGTTACTGTAATAAGATGTTACAGGGTAATAAGGCACTCAGGAGCCGGGTTACTGTAATAAGATGTTACAGGGTAATAAGGCACTCAGGAGCCGGGTTACTGTAATAAGATGTTATAGGGTAATAAGGCACTCAGGGGCCAGGTTACTGTAATAAGATGTTACAGGGTAATAAGGCACTCAGGGGCCAGGTTACTGTAATAAGATGTTACAGGGTAATAAGGCACTCAGGAGCTGGGTTACTGTAATAAGATGTTACAGGGTAATAAGGCACTCAGGAGCTGGGTTACTGTAATAAGATGTTACAGGGTTTGTAAGTCAGTAAAGAGAAGAGTTATTTTAATAATAAATGATAGGAGTTCGCTCTGACATTGTGAGAGTCTATATGCTTCCCATGCTGTATGGAGATGGTTATATTAGTAATTATTATTAAGGAGCAGTTTCCCCTGGGAGAAACCCACCAGGTCATGCGGATGTGGATATTTCCGGTTTGTTATATAAGGGGCTCAGGCTGTGTTTGGTACTTCGTGTTTTAGCCAGACGCCCCCCCTGCAGCTACTTTGTTGAAGAGCGGTTAAGCGTAAAAATCTAAACAGAGCAAAGGAAAGGGCAGGTTTGGCGAATGTGAAAAGCGAAAGTGATGCCCTTGAACAATACGAGACGATAAAACGAGCCTTTCATGTTTCACTTAGTAGCACAGCTTCAGTTTATGGTAGAATAATTAGAACGGTATTTACTAATGGGAGAATTCACAGTGAATATTCTAATTTAAGGCCAAAGTACCCAAACTGGATGCCTAACTGCCTTATTCCAGTCTGGCTATTATAACATTAAAGGTGAATCCACTTTCAATTCTCACTTTAGTAAATAACTCTACTAGACTGTTCCTGCATCAGTTTGAGTTAAATCCAATGTGTCTATAGTTCTCCAACTAAGCCAACATGTATGTGTGGTGTAAACCTTAACCGACCTACGTATAATCTGAGGATTGTAAAATAACATTACCAGTCACTTTCCTCTCTGTCATGGGAGTTTTACTTTATTTTGCCATATTATGGAGTTTAATTTTTTTCTGTCATTTTTCTACAAAGGTCTGGAACCATGCCCCTATATATTTTTTATTCTGTGTCGTGTTTTTCCTGTGGAGTTGAATGTTACATGAAAAGTTGTCCCGTAGCAGAATAAACTGGGCAGCACCATGTGAATTGAAATTAATTTATTTACTTTAGACACAGAAGGGTTAACACTTTGGATCTGATTTTATACATTTTGTTTTGGTTTCCATTAATAAGTTATATTATCATCTAATAATTCTAGTCAAGGTCGCCATCAGGGGGTGACAACCATGACGGTCTTTAGTGGCCCGGTCAGTGCTGCGGCCCTTTACTAGCAAGACTGGACCCTTTTAAAAACGGCAGCCACAGTCAGTCATACCGGCTTACTCTGCACGGAAGGGAGGTGACAGAGCGAAGGCAGTGAGGAGGGGAGAGCCAGCTGCCAGGCCGACTCCCAACAGCCCCAGCCACCCTCCCGCACCCAAAAGGTAAGACACATGAGGTTGACTGAAAATTACCTACATGTATGTCAGTATGCATGTCTGTGTGTGTATCTATGTGTCAGTATGCATGTCTGTGTGTCAGCATGTGTGTTTATATGCATGTCTGTGTGTCAGTATGTGTGTATCTGTGTGTCAGTATGCATGTCTGTGTCTGTATGTATATCTGTGTCAGTGTGTGTGTCAGTATGTGTATGTATATCTGTGTCTGTGTGTCAGTATGTGTGTATCTGTGTGTCAGTATGCATGTCTGTTTGTGTATCTGTGTGTCAGTATGTGTGTGTATCTGTGTGTCAGTGTGTATATCTGTGTGTGTGTGTGTATCTGTGTCAGTATGTGTATGTATATTTGTGTGTGTGTGTGTGTGTGTAGCCCCAAAATATCTGATTGGAGTGCATTAACATTCAACCAAGAACACTTAGACTCTGAATTTCCACAAATTAATTCTGAGTGGTAAAACTGAGACAAAAGTGGCCAAGCTGTGTGTAGCAAATATGGAGAATGTTTCTTGTTAAATTATTTTGTACCCCTGTTTTACAGTTCAGAATGAATTCACAAATAAAAAAAAAACTTGGAAGCGGAGATAGTATAGTATCCATTGTGTGCGGTTTCTTTTTGTACTGGTTTACCAATAACGTGTTTAACATGGATATGTATATATACACATATATAAATGGCTGGTGAGATAGCTCGGTAGCAATAGCTCCAGCTCCAGTCTCTCCACCAGACATTGGGTTCCAAGGAAACATGTCACACCCTTTAATCCTTGCAAGGTCAATACAATGACTGGGCAGTTCTAACACACAGACCTCGGGGTGTATAGATATCTTGCTTTCTATAAATACATCCTCTTTCGGTTTGCCATTTTTACTTGCGGATACTTTATTAACTCTGCACATTTAATATAATCCACACACAACAAACCTTCGTAACACATGACTAATTGCGAGGGCAGCAATACTTTGTGTGTGTTTTGTTTGCATTTCCAGCACCGGTGGGAGAGGGGGTGTTCCGTAAATAAAACCCCCAAGTCTTAGGGGTATTTACTAAACACTGGTTATGTGTGAAGGCAGCTAGTTATCTGGGTTGGCTAATTTTGCATCCATTGAATTGCTGTTTCCGATTGAAACCAGTCGACTGTTTAGTAAATACATTTATTTGTGGTTTGTTTTGTTTACTACACCCATGTTTTTTGCTGGTGGTAAGCCCCCATCTTATCTCACAACATATACTGAAAAACAAATAAAAACAAACACAAAATGTAAATAAATGTAATAACTAGCACAACTTACCCTGAAGAAAGCCTTACTATGTTATAGGGGAACAATCATTTAAATCGGTGAATAAAACAATGAGAATTACCTATAATTAGTTTTGGCAACATTTCTCACTAGAATGAAACGTGACTGAAATTCAAAGTGATTTTCAAATTCAAGGCCAAAGTAGCCAAACTGAGAGCAGAGCTGACTTGAAGCCTTAATTCTAGTTTGTATATTTTGGCCTTAAATCTGAAACTCACTTGGAATACCCAACAATTCTCAATGTAAAAAAAAACAAAACCCTGATTGTTTCATTTCTCGTTTTCTGTCTGGTGCAAGCTAATGAGGTGCTGAATTCTACGTGATATATTTATATTTTCACCCCTCAAAAATATCTTTTAGATATGTCAAATTAGATTTTTAACCAGATTACAGCACTGAGAACCCTATAATCCAGTGTATATTTTTATCCTTTTTATTTGTTAAATCCATGAATGTTGTGAATATAAACCAGATCTTTGCCATTGGATTAATTTGGCAATTCTGATAAAGGTTATAGTTGAGCTTTAGTGAATAGAACTCTAGATTTAAATTCTTTATTTATGAGAAAAGACAAAGGCAGCAAGTCAAAATGTCATCTTAAAGGGATACATGACATGACACATTCTGTTTTACATGGTAATTACATTTAAATATTGTCAAGAGTATATTGCATTTTGCAAATTGTTCTCGCCAGCCTCTCATAGTCAGTTTTAGAGTTATTCAGAAACAATGTAGAATACTTGGTTTGAAATGGGGGAGGCAGGGGGAGATTATATTCTTAGGTGCATTTACCTAGACATTTTCTTTTACATTTGTAGCCATTGTCAGATCCGTACACAAACCAATCGATATTACCGTATATGTTTCCATTGTTCTGTGGTACATATCAAGCTGTAACGTGTCCCTGCCCAACCTTTATTTTTAATTCAGTGTAATCTTAATATGGAATACACTATTGCTTCCATAACCCCTGACAGGTCCGTTGTTATTGACATTTAACGGCTCTAGAATTAAAGGGCACTGTTATAGGAACTATCCTGGGCTAGAAACACAGGGTTCCAGATATCGTGTTGGAATGTGCGATTATCACGATAACCCCCTACGAATGGGGACATTTGTGGGTAGGTTTGAGTTTCAGAGGGGGCCATGGCAGATTCATGGGGAACTCCCTTTCTCAGCTTCCCAGTCCCCTTTTAGGTCCACGTCACCCTGCGCTTACTGGCCACGGTGTCAGGGAAACCTATCCTGGCCTTCCCAAGCCAAAGTGCTATGAGGACACCTGTGACAATCCTAGAATCTGTGCTGAACTGATAGAAACTTTGGCACAACCCGCTGAAACTTTAATGGGATGTAGCTGACAGAGCGGGTCCAGAGCTTTCAAATGACACCTTACAAGTGGGTGAGCACCACAGGAAACCCCAGGAATTATACCTATATTGGCCCTTAGGCAAATCATTAAAATGCCCTGGTACTCCTCACTGGGTACTTTTCCAGCTCGGGGCCCCAATCCCCAATTAAGACAATATTCAGACTAGCGACAGTGAGGGACCCAAGCTGGTTGCAGGGTAGCCTCGTTGGGGGTAGGTGTGGTCAGGGGTGTAAGTTTTGTATTCCCCATACATGATATCTGGATGCAGTGTGGTTATAGTGTCTGCCCTGAGGCAGGGCACTGTATAGATCAGATCTATACCTGGAAGGTGAACTTGCCATCCACAGTTCCTACTCCTGATTTAAATCAGGTTTACAAATTACTATTGTTCCCTGGCTCCCTCCATCTCTGCACATCTGGGTGCACTACCCCAGCACATCTTTACTATGTGATTAATAACCCGCGTTAGCAGCATTTTTCTGCAAATTCTCTTAGGTGGTGCACAATAGGGGTCTTTTATCAAGGGACTTTGGTAGTCTTACAGGGTAACCTACTAAAGAGAGAATTGCCAGGAATCAAAAATGAATATTAAACGTAAGGCCAAAATAGCCGAATTGGAAAAATTCTCCAAGTAAGCTATGCTTCGGGTTCAGCTACTTTGGCTTCAAACTTGCAATTCATGTTGAATTCAACGATTATCACTTTCGTAAAAAACCCGGTCAGACCACCCAACCTCTGGGTATTTGTTTAAACATCAAACTAATTGTTGTAGAACTACAACTCCCAAGATGCTTTGCATGACTTTAGCTTGGCAGAGGATCATGGAAGCTGTAGTTTTAAAACATCTGGGGATTTACCTTTTGGGCACCGCTGCTAAAGGTACTAGATGAGCCTTGGCTGAGGTCAGCAGACAGAGTCCTCCATTGATTGGTGTAGGTACCAAAGAAAATCAGGAGTGGGGGAGGCAGGCATATAGACCACTCAGCACCACTGTTGATAAATTCATGTTCAGGTGTGCCACCAATTTCCTTTTTTCTGTGTATAAATGGAGTCCAGACACGATTCATTTTGGGTTCGGTACCCGGCCCCATTCACCTACTTTAGATACCCCTTTAATGGTAACAGGAAAATATAAATTTGAGAGTTTTTTTTTTTTTTTTTTTAAAGCAGTGTCACTTTAATATTTTGTATTTGATATAGAGTGGAATTATTACATACATTGTCAGTTTATGTATAAAAGCACTGTCACTTCCATTAGTAATTGCACTTTTTTTTTTTTTTTTTATTGTGTTTTTGCTTACATATATTTATCATATGATATATATTTAAAATGCACTTGGAAGGACCAAACTTCTGGAATTAAAGGGAATCGTGACATGTCACACGTGTGTCCTTAAGCGGTTAAGCTATAATCATTTAGCACGGGCTATTTAAACCGTAACTATTGCAGTTAGCATGTTTGTCTCACACTGTGACGTAATGGTGGGCTTAACACAACATGGCCATGTGGCATAACTGAATATCCATATTAGTTTGCCAAGATGGGTGATTTTAAGTAGCCTAGTGAAATTTAAAATGGTATTCATTTGTGTGCTGTTCCTTAAAGGAGCACTATAGTGCCAGGAAAACAAACCAATTTTCCTGGCATTAAAACCCCTTCAGCCACTTCCCTTAATCCAGAGCTGGGCTCCCCCTGCCATCAGCTCCACCTGCGCAGCCAGAGCTGAGAGCGCATTCAAACCGCCCATAGGAAATCATTACTCCTTGCTTTCCTATGGATGTCAGCGTGTCCTCAATGCGATTTTCACAGTGAGAATCGCGCAAGCTGCCTCTAGTGGCTCTCAGGGAGACAGCCACTAAAGGGTGGATTAACCCTCAATGTAAACATAGCAGTTTCTCTAAAACTGCTATGTTTTCAGCTGCAGGATAAAAATTAGGGGGATCTGGCACCCAGACCACCTCATTGAGCTGAACTGGTCTGGGTGCCTACAGTGGTTCTTTATGGTGTACTACTGCAAAATGCATGTGCCCCCCAATTCCCTTTTTTCTATAATTAACATGTAGAACATTCATCATTTACTGAGAATTCAAATATTCAAACCAACCTTAAAGCGTTGCTCAAGTTATAATAGTAATAGTTATGTTGCTAGAAGGACCCTGGCACCATTCCCCAATAATTTTGTAAGCGGAATCATCTTACAGCTAGCAGGACCTAAAGGATCTGCCGCTAAGGTATTGGTGCCAAATACCACAGGACACGTTCAGAGGTCTTGTGGAATCCATCCCTAAACACATCAGAGCTGTTTTGGCAGCACAAGGAGGACCTACAAAATATTAGGCAGGTGGCTTTAAAGTGACACTCTAGTCACCAAAACAACTTTAGCTTAATGAAACAGGTTTGGTGTATAGATCATGACCCTGGAGTCTCACTGCTCAATTCTCTGCCATTTAGGAGTTAAATCACTTTGTTTATGCAGCCATAGTCACGCGTCCCTGCATGTGACTTACACAACCTTCCTAAACACTTCCTGTAAAGAGTCATCTAATGTTTACAGTTCCTTTATTGCAAATTAAGTTCAATTTAACATTTCTTAGCCCATGCATTAGCCTCCTGTGTGTGATTAAAGTTCCATTTACAGAGCAAGATATAAAACCAATTAAAGTAAGTTACATCTGATTGAAAATCAAACCATTTTGTTTTCTTGCAGGCTGTGTCAGTTACAGCAGGCTGTGTCAGTTACAGCCATGTGGCTAGGGCTGCATAAACAGAAACAAAGTGATTTAACTCCTAAATGGCAGTGAAACTTCAAAGGCATAATCTATACACCAAAACAGCTTAATTAAAGCTTGGAGACTATTATGTCCCTTCAATGTTGTGGCTGATCAGTGTACATGCATTTACATTCTCATCAAAACTGATTATTTTAATTGTTTTTGGTCCATGCGGTTTGATGTTTTGTGTATTGTATCACATTATCATTGTAAGACATAAGTGCAAACAAAGTTAAAATAAAATTACAGCTGAGAGTTGGTTGAGTATGTAAATATGTGCCCAACATTAAATTTAAATACAAAACATGTCTTACACAGTAAATTTGGATGCACACTTTTAAAGGAAAAGTCACTTAACAGTGATATTTTCACATTCGCTGCCTCCATTAAATGGTATTAATGTGTTTACAGGGGTTACTGTGGCAGATGTAAATTAAAAGTACAGATACCTCCACAGACCTTCATGTTCAGAGCAATATTATTACCACTCGATGCTCTGGGGGCACTCAAACATAATCAGATGAAAAATGTTGTTGGAGCACATGCAGGAATGGGCATTCCTTCCATAGCACTGTATGTGTGCATGCCCCCTGAACAACAACATGGGGGTTGAATTAATTTACATGGCATGCCTTAGCTGTGCCAGGGCAATCTGGTTCACAATGGCTTCCATTATCTTGCATCCGGGCTGCGCAACAATATAAGCTAAAACCACTTTAAAAAGAAAAAACACAACATGTAAGCATAAAATCTATTAGATAATAAATTAATCTTTTACTTAAAATGGTCAGGAGCTATGTTAGAACAGTGCAGGTTATACCTCAAAATGGAGTCTTATACCAGACATAAGGAACTTTAGATGCTCGGAGTAACCGGACATGCAGTAAAGGTGTTGTCCAGAGCAGTCTGTGTGAGTCCCTCACCTCTATCAGTCAAGGTTATTCAGTAAGGTGAGGAGAATGGTCCGGAAGGCAAAGTGAATTTCAAATTTAAGACCACAGTAGCTGAACTGAAAGGTTTCTAGTTCGGTTAATTTGGCCTTAATATTAAAATTCACTAAAATTAGAATTGCTAAGTATTCACAGTTAATTTCCCTGCCGTACTTCGAAGGTAACCATTCTGTATACATGTAAAATACTATTTGCAGAATCCAAAAGATATCACACCCAATGCATGGTCTAAATTATTCTTTATTCCCTCGTAGAAAGGAAGGGAATTTGGCAAAACATCTGTGACATGACATCATGCTACCTATTTGCAAACAGCTTCCTTTAGCAACTCCTCAGGAAGCCTCTACCTGTTACAGAAATCATGCCTACAGTTCCAACCTTCTCCAGGGGAGATCCTGATCACTTGCACTGTACAGATGGAGAACATTGATACAACAATTGTGACTAAAAATAGGGGTTTCTTTCTAAACTTGGCGGTTCTCCAGCCGCTAGTGGACTACATTTCCCATAATTCCTTGACAAATTTTGGAAACTGTAATACAGTAACAGGGCCTAAGGCAGTAAGTCCATCATCGTCTGCTGATGGAGTAAATTCAGAAAATCCGTCCACTGGTCATAAGGGTGTTGCAACGGCTTGTTATTCTGAATATATAAAAACACTCCAGTTTTATAAACAGAACTTAATACTTGCGCACCCCCTCCCTACCAGTGTTTAAGGAAGGATAAGAAGTGGACAGTCAATGCAATGAAAGTACAGTTTGTCTATTAGTCATGCTCTGTGCCGGTTTGTATGTCCATATCCTTAAGAGTTAGCGGAAACAAGAGAAAACAGACTGGGAGACAGGTAGGCACACAACTGGAGACAGAGACAACATAAACATCAGTGAGAATTTGAAGCGCTCAGGTCCCCAAATACCAGAATGAATAAATAGAAACCACCCCTCTAATGAAGGGGGGCAGACATGAAGGCTAGAGAGAGTGCTGGATGAGAGGTGGGAGGGGATGGAGTGGGTAGATTAATTAGATATGTCTGGCCCTCCACTCGTTATTAAACTGGTGTAGTGTTTATGCAACAACAACAATATATTCCACACAGCCCCTCGCATTTCCACTCATTACTTCCCACTGGGAGGGTTGTAGGGCTCTAGGAGAAGGTTGGAAAATGTATTCACATTTTCTGCACCTCGGACTTCATGTGGGAGAAGAGGAAGCTTCACAATGTGGAAATCTTCATAAAGGTCCTCCATCTGAAAGAGAAGGGCAGGGAAAGTTACAACTTACACCCCAACAAAATTAGAAATGTACAAATAATACCGCTTTTTTTTTTTTTTACATCAGCCAAAACACAAGTCTTTTTAATAGCAATACACTAACAGGTATGTAATATAATTATCTAAAGACTTTAAGGGACAAACTAGATGCCCGATAGCTCCCTCCTGTCTGTCACCCTGTGCTGGGAGGGACAGACTCCATGTCCCATAGCTTCCTCCTGTCTGTGTAACCCTGTGCTGGGAGGGACAGACTCCATATCCCATACTCCCTCCTGTCTATGTCACCCTGTGCTGGGAGGGACAGACTCCATATCCAATACCTCCCTCCTGTCTGTGTCACCCTGTGCTGGGAGGGACAGACTCCATATCCAATACCTCCCTACTGTCTGTGTCGCCCCGTGCTGGGACAATCAGACATTTTGAAGACATTGTGTCCAATAGCGCCCTCCTGTCTGACACCCTGTATTTGGAGCGGCATACTCTATAACTGCAGCATGGCTAGGTTACATGTGATATGCACCCCAAAATGATGTTTATAAACAAGCTATGTACCTGGTCAAGATATTTGGACTGAATCTTGTGCCTGGCCTCACACATCCTGCATGGCTTCTCAGGCTCCGGAAACACCAGCTGGTTAACAATAATGTTGTGAGTATCTATTTTACACTTGGCCAACTCCTGGATCAGGCGCTCCGTCTCATACAGCGACAGGAATTCAGCAATGCACACGCAGATAAATGTCGTCTGTTCCTGTACATGGGAGATAAGTTACATGAACAAGGCTTCGCTCCACCAAACCATCAGCTTTCCTTTAAAAGTGACAACTTTAAGTTCAGCTCAGGGATAGAAGCCTACAACTTATTTAGCGTAGCAACACACCTTTCCCAATGCAGCAGAGATTCCTTCCATACTAGAAAGTCTATTTCATAAATTGTATTTTAAAGGAACACTATATGGTCATGAACACAAACATATATTCATGACCGTATTGTGTTAAAACCACCATCTAGCCCCCTTGGCCCCCCTCTTGCCTCACTAAATATAGTAAAATCTTACTTTTATTCAAGTCTGCAGCTGATGCCTCTGCCCATGATCTGCCTGCTTGGCGGACATCAGAAGTTGTGTTTTGAGCCAATTACAATGCTTCCCCATAGGATTGGCTGAGCTTGTCAAGGAGGCAGATCAGGAAAGGAGTCAGCACAAGCCAGACACAGCTCTGGCCAATCAGCATCTCCCTAGAGTTGCACTGACTCAATGCATCTCTATGAGGAAAGTTCAGTTTCTCCATGCAGAGGGTAGAGACACTGAATGTCAGTCACACTGTGCAGCACTAACCCAGGAAGCACCTCTAAGAGCCATCTGAGTAGTGGCCAGTGAAGTGATCACTAGGCTGTAATGTAAACACTGCATTTTCTCTGAAAACACACATTTTACTGCAAAATGCCTGAAGGTAATGATTCTACTCACCAGAACAAATTCATTAAGCTGTAGTTGTTCTGATGACTACAGTGTCCCTTTAGTGCAAATGATTTGCTATTTTTAAGAGTGTAGATTACCTTCTAGACATTATTTAAGGTTTTAAACATTGTCTTGCCTTGAACTAGATTATCATGTGATTTGCTAAATCTAAAATGTAAATGAAAAAATAAATCGCAACATCCAAAAAGGTTTTAACATGACTTGTAGGTGGTTTTCCATATTTTATTTAGTGGTGGCGATTTTATATAGATGTACGACTGCTCCTAATAAATCTGGGAGTTGATGTTTACCTAGGCACTTGTTATTGTGTCTGCAGTTGGCAGGTGGTTCTACGAGCCTTGCACAAACAAAGAAAACAAGGGCAACAAGTTACAAGTATGTTCACACGCAAATGCATTAAAATGCACCCTTATCTCTTTAAAGGTTGACTGCACAAGGTCATCAATAGAAAGCCAGGAATCAGATTTGTTGCGTATATGGTAATCTTCACATTTACCTCAAGTTTGTGTTTGCTTTGTTGATCTAGATAAAACTGGTGGGATTTTGGGTGCAAAAGTGATAAATGTTACTACAAGATGTCCTATTGGTTGCCATGGCGATTGACCCTTCCTTTGCTTTTATCCTAGAACAGCACCCGTTTTTACCTTGATAAATCTCCATCCATGATGTAACACATACTATAACATTATTTAAGAAAGGTACAGCTTTAGCTAGTTGTTAAAATATAGCCTGGGGTTGTGAAGGAATACCCCATCATTTAGTTCAGTTTCCTTCCCGTTCGTTTGCTTGTTTGAATCCACGTAGTTCAGTTCCAGAATGAGGACCACCCCAGCACCTTATTAGAACATGGAACACTGTATCCAGTGCAAAACCACAATGGAAACAATCACTAAAAGACTCCCCTGGGTGGCCGCCCTTTTGTGTTATCGAACGCACATGGTCTATAGAAGGGATGGCGGACATCTGGTCTCCCAAACGCAGCCAGCGGTACCTGCTCATCGAGTGCCTAGAACTTAATTCTGTTAGGCACTCCCGCCAATACCAGTGAATATGGAACTGCTGCCCGTTCAAGTTCCCGACAACCTACACAAACGGCATACAGGAGATATAAACTACCGAATGGGGCGGGGGGGGGAGCATTCGACACTTAAAAGCGTTCGGATATTGCTTTCATACAAAAACAAAACAAAACAAAAACAAAAAACGTCCGTTGCCACAATTCCTCTGGAACTATTTTGGGCTTCTACCTCGTGGCCAGCCAGTCATAACTGTACCTCGATGGAACTTCCAAACCACTGAACAGATCGAAGTGCTTTTTGGATATGTTAAGCACTCAGATCAGGGCTATCTGGGGATGTGACTCTTGAGGGGGTTTACATGAATTTTGGGGGTACTTTTAGGGTTTTTAATTTTTTTATATTTTCCTGTACCTGGGGGATAATTGAGTTGTACGTTTCCTGACTCAATTATCTCTCAGGCACAGGGGAGGAGTTTATGGTGTGTATAAATTGTGAGTGCTTGCCTGCATTAAACAGATCTACTCCCAGAATTCAGGCTCGACTAATGTGTGTGGGAGGTTTGGGGGGAGGCGATACAATAGGTCACCAGGGCCAGACTGGGGAAAAAAAAATAAAAAAAATTGGCCTGGGCATTTAGAGGCAGAGCGGCCCAGTTGGAGGGGCGGGGACAGAGAGAGGTTGTGAACATTTTAGTTTGCTGTTCCCCCAGGGTATCTCATGCTGAAGAGCAGTTGCATGGAAACAATGTCCTGTGTTTTATTATTATTATGCTATTTATATAGCGGCCATCAAATTCCGCAGCGCTTTACAATGGATGGACGAACAGACATGTAGTTGTAACCAGACAAGTTGGACACACAGGAACAGAGGGGTTGAGGGCCCTGCTCAATGAGCTTACATGCTAGAGGGAGTGGGGTAAAATGACACAAAAAGGTAAGGATAGTATTAGACTAGTGACAGTTGCAGAAGAGGAATCAGTCAGGAGCTATTAACACTTTAATTGATAGGCTTTTATGAAGAAGTGGGTTTTTAACTATTTTTTTGAAGGAGTGGAGACTGGGTGAGCATCTAACGGAGGAGGGAAGTGAGTTCCACAGGAATGGTGCTGCCCTCGAGAAATCTTGAAGGGGAGCATCAGAGGTGGGAGTATGGACAGAAGATAGGCGTAAGTCTTCAGCAGATCGTATGGGCCTAGACGGGACATACGTGTGTATAAGGGAGGATAGATAGGTGGGAGCAGCATTATGTAGAGATTTGAAAGCAAGAACCAGATTTTTAAATTGAGCTCTATATTTTACAGGAAGCCAATGTAGGGAGAGACAGAAGGGTGAGGCTTGAGAAGTGCGGGCGGACAGGAAGAGACCTAGCAGCAGGAGGGAGAGACCAGAAAGCATAGCCAGCTCTTCATGACACAGACTCCCTCTCTTCTCCCCCTGACAGAATGTTTCAACATAAAGAGATCTTCTATTATTTATACAGCCATCATATTCCGTAGCACTGTACAATGGGATTACAGATTCTATCTATACATGTGTAAATCGGTGAGGCATGCCTAATGAACTTTTCCCACCATTCCTAGGGATACAACACTGATTGGTTAGAGAAGTGTCCCCCTGGAGTGGGTGTGGAAAGCATAAGCTTTTGAAGGAGACAGTGTTTCAGTGATGCATGTCCCTACCAGTGAGTGATGTAAGAAGTCTCTTACCGGATCTTTAAACTGTTCGCTGACCGATCGGATGACAGGAAGGGTCTCTTCTAGCTTGGATGCAAGCTGATCAGCATTCATATCTCCAAGACCAAGCATGTTACACATCTAGTGAAAAGGGAGAGAGATTCTTTAGCTACTATCAGAGTGGGTGGGTGTGAAAGAGTTAATGAAGGGATAGAAGTCTCACTTGTGATATGAAAGGGCTAATCTGGTTCTTGATTTGCATTAATCTCCCAAGACCTCTCTCTACGATAGTTGGGAAGTTGAGGAGTCGCAGTGTGTGTCCAGTGGGTGCTGTATCAAAGACCACCACTGAAAAATTCATGCCTTTCACCAGCCTGTAAGGGACAAACATTTACAAACAGACTTTAAAGAGAAAAGTTATTTTCTTTTATTAAAAACTTCACATATTAACTGAGACATGGAAGAGTTAAAAAGAAAGAGAAAGTATCACCGGCACACAAAAGTAGCACTCATGATATGAAGTCATAAACGTTCGTCCACTTAGACCAGGGGTTCTCAACCTTGCCCTCAAGGACCCCCTACCAGTCCAGGGTTTAGGGATTACCTGGGTGTGTCTAAGGTGTTTAGAAAAAGGAAGAAAAAAAAACACCTTAGAGTCTAAGGTTTTTTTTTCTTCCCTTTTTCTAAACACCTTAGACACACTCAGGTAATCCCCAAATCCTGGACTGGTATGGGGTCCTGAGGACTGGGTTGAGAACCCCTGACTTAGACCATTGTTTGACATGTTCCAGAGCCAGACTCTAGGGCAGGGATAGGCAACCTTTGGCACTCCAGATGTTGTGGACTACATCCCCCATAATGCTCTTACACCCATAATGCTGGCAAAGCCTCATGGGAGGTGTAGCTGGAGTGCCGAAGGTTGCCTATGCCTGCTCTAGTGCATCACCATCAGTCACACCAACTCATGGTGCATGCATCACCCTTCACACAGAGATTCAGCAACACAGCAGGGTGTAATGATGGACCGTTTCTCCCATTGAGAAACTTATGACCATGAGAGATGTACTTAACTCAACTTCTAACGATCAGACATCCGGCACCCCTTACATGTCTAGACACTGGATATATCCCACTTACAGAGTGCATCTATCACTCCATATTAAAACGGATTCATACCAATATACCATTACTACATTAAGTACAGTCACTTGGATAACAACCGCCAGGAGAGATACCAAAACCTTTCAAGTATTATTTAAATAGGAGCGGTCTGCTGAGAATATTAAACAGAGCCTGATGTTTTTGAAAATAACATTTCTAATGCCAGTCTAGAGCTCTGACTCCAAATAAACTATTCTCTACAGTCAGTCATGATTATACCATAACCACTGCTCAATAACTCTCAGAGGATCTGGGCAATTCTTTCCTCTTTATCCACTAGCAGTGTGGCGACAATCATAATCATAGAGTAAAGGACCAACCAACCACTAGCTGGAGACAACAGCCACAGTCATTGCATGATGGACACTAATCCACAAGGGGGCAGCAACATTAGCAGTTTTAACCCCTTAAGGACAGATGACGGGAATATTCCGTCATGATTCCCTTTTATTCCAGAAGTTGTGTCTGTACAGAATATCAAACTCCATTCATACGTTTTGCGAGCAGAGGTTATGTCAGTATTGAATGTGCAGACTGGTTACAGTGACCCACTGCATTAAAACCACATCAATGTAGAGTTTTAATGCATAGATGCTACCCCTTGTCACAGACAATGTAAAACATTGCTATTTAAAAGGGACAGTGTAACTGCTTCTCATTGAAGTGGTTATAGTGCCTGGGGTACCTTCCATTCTGGGTTAAACTTTAACGCTTTACAATAGTCCACAGGAGCCCAACTTGACAGTGTTCTACAGGAGAATGCGCTTTGTTACCATGGCGACTACTTAAGGTTTACAATTTACCTCCAAACGTGCCATAATTTATATCTACTTTTGTAAACCGCTATAAAAGTAACAGCTCACATTGCTCAGCTTTACCTCATAACCTCTGCGTAGCTCATAGCCTCATCGATCCCTGGAAAGGCACTCATGGCCTCCTGCATCATCTTCTTGCCCATACTCAGCATGTTGTCCTCCTCAAATATCTCATCTGGGAGTTCTGCCACCCCGAGACTCGGGTCAATCTCCTGCGTTACAGCAGAATTTAAAGAGATCAGCATGAGAGTGAGGTAAAACATGTATGAACTGCTAACTGGAAGTATTGAACATGACTATGGTGACCACACGGCCCGGCTTCAAATTTGGAGAGCTCCTGGGCCAACTCACCATAGCAAAGAGGTTGTCATAACCACGGACTTTTGTGGGAACCTTGGAAAACTTCTGGTCAAAGGCATCAGAAATATTGTGAGCGGGGTCTGTGGATATGATCAGGACACTCTCCCGTATTCGAGACAGCTGCACAGCGAGACTGCAACTGCATGAGGAGGGAATGAGACAGAATATTAGACATCACACCCCGCTGCTTGTTCTATGCAGAGAGCAAGATCTCACTATACTATGTCCTAGGAACATACGGTACATCACGGATTTAAGGAATCAATACGCTCAGTCCTCGTCTCAATCAATTAACATGATTCACTTGGGTACTTTAAGTATTATAATGGGGACTTTCTGCTATATAGCCTCTTTCCTTTCGTACTGGTGATCCCCATTCACACAGTTAACTTGTCTCATTTCCTTCTCTTCACTCATAAAATTGGTTCATACCCAAAGCAAAACAATATCCTAATTCTGAACCAATCTGCTATTATTGCTGCGATCATTGGCGTCTCCCCACTTCTCCATAACATGTGCCAATTGGGTACTGATTCGAATAGTACTGTCTAATTCCTATTATATTTAAAAATGTAAATACACACCACATGCAGCTTCTTATCTAATCCCTAGACACATTTCTAGTCCAACTCTGAGATTTTCACTAAAAGCTCATTACCTTCACCCATAAACACTGCTAAAACTAAACCCAGCATCACACTACCGGCTCACTCCCATCAGTAATAAACACGGGCTAATCTCGCTCCCTGTTTTACCACCAGCTCACTCCCATCAGTAATAAACATGGGCTAATCTCGCTCCTGGTCTTACCACTGGATCTCTCCCATCAGCAATAAACACGGGCTAATCTCGCTCCCGGTCTTACCACAGGATCTCTCCCATCAGCAATAAACACGGGCTAATCTCGCTCCCGGTCTTACCACTGGATCTCTCCCATCAGCAATAAACACGGGCTAATCTCGCTCCCGGTCTTACCACTGGATCTCTCCCATCAGCAATAAACACGGGCTAATCTCGCTCCCGGTCTTACCACTGGATCTCTCCCATCAGCAATAAACACGGGCTAATCTCGCTCCCGGTCTTACCACTGGATCTCTCCCATCAGCAATAAACACGGACTAATCTCGCTCCCGGTTTTACCACTGGACCTCTCCCTTCAGCAATAAACACAGGCTAATCTCGCTCCCGGTTTTACCACTGTATCTCTCCCATCAGCAATAAACACGGGCTAATCTCGCTCCCGGTGTTACCATTGTATCTCTCCCCTCAGCAATAAACATGGGGTAATCTTGCTCCCGGTCTTACCACCGGCTCACTCCCATCAGTAATAAACACAGCCTAATCTCGCTCCCATCAGCAACAACACAAATTAATCCCACAACCAGTCTCTCAATACCCACTCATTCTCTTCTTTTTCTTTATATGAAAAACAAACAGCAGGCCATGTCATAGGATGATTTTGAACAATCTTGTACTTTTTTTCATTGCTGTCTGACGAACGATTTAAAGGAAAAAATATATCTGCTGATTCCAGTCATCCATTAACCCCTGCTAATATCTTACACCCAGCCTCCGACTAATTCTATTCCTTTCTTCACCTGTGTCTTTTAAATATAAGACAAGGAAAACACCGGTTTATTAAATCTACAGCTTATTTAATTTTAAAGTATAAGATTAAAATTTACAAAAATAAAATATGAATTTACTAGTTTACTTAAAACAAGGTCATGTTCACGTTTTAGATATGGTTTTATCTTCGAACTGGCTCCTTGAGTCAATGCTGACCCGACCCCTCCCTTTCTGCCCAGGAAAAACTTTGTTATATCGTTACTATGACTCCGGTAAGGAGTGGGATACATTGGGAAGAAATTGAACAGTCCGTTCTTGAATTTCACGTGTTGGAAGCAGGAAAAAAATAGGCAAGTGAAGAGATCTGAGTGCACAGAAGAACAACTAGTGAACGGACGTCAGGGTGAGGGGCACCTAAGGCTCATCGATGCATGTGGGGAGCAAAGGCTAGCCCATGTGCTCCGATCACACAGAAGAACTACTGTAGTTCATGATGGCTAAAAAATTATGTATGCTAGCCACTGTAGAAAGGGGTCAGAACACACAATGCATCACAATCTGTTGTAGTATTATGCACTGGACAATGTTCTGCTGAGAATCCTTGAGTCCTGGCACTCATGTGGGTGTTCCTTTGATGCGTACAATTTACATAGAGATTGCTGCAAACCACATACACCTCTTCATGGCAATGGTGCTCCCCGATGGCAGTGGCCTCTTTCAGCAGGATAATCCACCCTGCAATAATTGTTCAAGAATGGTTTGAGAAACATAACAAAAAGAGTTCAAAGTGGCCTCAGATTCCAAATTCCCCCGATCCCAATCCAATTTAGCATCTTGGGTTGTACTGGAACAACAAATCCAATCCATGGAGGCCCCACCTCGCAACTTGCATGATCTGCTGCTAATGTCTTGGTGTCAGATACCACAGGACACGTTCAGAGATCTTGTGGAGTCCATGTCAGATATCACAGGACATTCACAGTCACCATACTTTGCATATTGACAATGAGCGCAAACCTTGCACAGCAAAACAATCCAGGAACTCTCTTTCCAGGCTAGATGACTGACAGATGCAGGAGGAGGAGTTATACCCCAGCAGAAAAATAATAAGTCTTTACTGGCAGCGTTTCAATAAATGTCCTTGCACCCTAACCATTTCAACAAGGTGAAGTGGTTAAGGAGCGTAAAAAAACTTTTAATATATAAAAATCTTGTAGAGCAGATCAGGAAGGTGCTGGAAACGCTTGTGGTTTCAGCGTACGCTCTGTACATACCTTCCAACATGTCAAACAAAGAGGGACACTTTAAAGGGACACTATAGGCACTCATACCACTTCAGTTCATTAAAGTGGTCTTGGTGCAGTGTCCCCGTCCCACTTAGTCCTGCAATTTAAAACATTGCAGTTTTAGAAGAACTGTGATGTTTATATTGCAGCACTAAGACTGCCTCTAATGGATATATACCAGACAGCCACTAGAGGCGTTTCCTGGATGTTAACAGACTTTGGTCCGGTAACGGACAGTGGACGTCCGCACACTCTGCATGAGGACATCCAGTGTCTCAGAAAGCCCTGTAAGAAAGCATTAATTCAATTAATTTTTTGTGGGGAAGTCCTAATGTGCATTATGCGGTGGAATTGGAGACAGCTGACTGAGCTAGTTGAGAGGGACTTCAGCACTGGAATCAGGCAAGTGTTTTTAACACTCATTTTCGAGGAGCAACTTTGTATCACTAAATATAAATTACTACATTTCATTAAATTACGGGGTGTAAGTGGGAGTGTGGCTGTTCTGAGAAATTCGCAAAGACTTCCTAATAATTTATAGAACTAAAATGTAATTTAAGAATGAGAACAATATTTACACAGACTGATTTCTTTGTTATACAAATCAGACAATATGGAGCTCCTTGGAAAGAGATACATTAGGATAGAAAAGAAAGACAGTGGTTCACTTGGGAGGTATGCATGTATAAAAGTAGTAGATCTGGAATAGACACTGTGATGGGAACTCCTGTGCCACAGACTCTTGGAGAGGCGTGAATGCCAGCCTCCTGCCCAGACTACGGGCCTAGTCGCAAAGACCCGTTTTGTCTGCTGAAGTTTTATTACTCACATTGCTATTACAAACAACTGGAGTGGGAATCCCAGCCATCTCCTGCCTGAAAGGACTATAATCACCACAGTTACCCTTTCAGTCAGTGTCTCCCAACTCCGCACCCCTTTCCCAAGGCCCAGGCATCACCATAAGCTGGCTGGGAGACTACAGAGTCACGGCGTGCCGACTGGGAGCAACCCACAAACTCTTTGGAACTCTTAGTCAATGGCCGGTAAAACTTTGAGGAGAGCGCTCTCGGTCCCAGAGGCACCTATCAGAGCGTTTTTTGGAGGGGAGATAAGGGAGGAAGATAGGAATCGAATGACACCTTGGACTTGAGGGAGCTTGCTGCCCCAGACCAGCTAAACACCGGAAAATGTGACCAGGAATTACAAACTCTAAAGCGGATCGGAGAATAGCCACAATCCAGTAAAATTTTACCAGCTCATAACTCGGGCGCAAATTCTCCGGTCACAGGGTTGTTTTTTTTTTTTTTTTTTAAGACAGTATGGGTGCACGGTCACAGGCTTTCGAGCAAGGTATAGCATGTTAGGATATGTTATGTTATTAGTGAGTTATTCTAGAACATGTAAAACAGAGGGAATGTTATGTTACTGTTTAACAGTTATTGTGCAACGCGTCTAGGTGATAGGCAGGTAATTCAGTTAACCTAATTATGTCCTAGACACCTAGACGCTGGGGAGCGACTTGTATTGTTTTGTTATATGTGTGTTGTGGATTAATAAAGGGTGTTCTAGACTCATCTAATGTAGGAGTGGAAAAGCTATAATCACTGCTCTGGATAGGAGAGGGACTCCAGAGCTATATTCACTATAACCTGGTCCAGGGTAGATGAACGCTGGAGGGAACCCAGTCAAGCTGCGGCAACTGAGTCTGAAGCAATACAGGTTGCCTAATAGCAATTAGGAGGCACACTTGGCAGGGGGTACTCAGATGAAGTGCAGGAGCTCCGCCACAGACACATAATTACTCAATTTTTTGATCTCATCTCGGAGGATATCCTCCAACAAAAGACCAGGACCGATCCGTATATCCATAGGTAGCGATCATACCATCCAAGCGAATATATCTGGAGCGAATTCTAGGATCCAGAAACCCAAGTGCACTTCTTTCTTCTTATTCAATATCACTCACTGCACTATATTTCGTTGTATTGTCTTCTTATCGTGTCATGTTACCCTATACTCAGTTAGATTCGAGGACATTAATGCTGCTTCACTACATTCCCTTTTCAGATTTACCTATGGCCAGAAGGAAGAGAGGTGCAGCCACGCACATAGACTGAACAAAAGCTAGAAATGGAATCTTTCTAATTTATTTAAAATAAAATTGGTGTTAGTTCCATTTGGAACCATGTATCCTGTCTGGTTTGTTCAGGGATCCCAGTACCTGTTGACTGGCTGCCTGGTCCCTGTAGACCAGGAAAATTCAAAGAAAGCTAGGCAGGAGAGCCGCAAGTGCATTTATAAAGGCAGTAGCTGATCACATTATAGGTGGAGGTATGGATACTTGTCTGGAAGCAGAGCTGCAGAGGAATAGGCAAAGGAGGCATTACCTGCCTGGAAGGAGAGAGCTGCAGCCTAGTTGGGTGGAGGAGTTACGGACCGACCCAGTCATGCTTTGCTGACTGGGGCTGAAGCGTTCTAGGAACCCTGAAAGCAGGTAGGAAGCAGACTTGGCGGAGATACTTGGTCAGAGAAAGGAAGCTCCGTCACAGAGAGAAGATACATTTACACAAAATTGTATAAAGTCAGTAAAATCAACAATGTAGTTCATTCTTATTTTCGTTTTACCTTTAGTCTAATATTTTTTTTAATAAATGTATATTCTAATTTTTTTAAGTACATTCTTATTTGCATTGTATTTAAAGGGACAGTAGTCATCAGAACTATTACAGCTTAATGTAGTTGTTCTGGTGAGTATAGCGTGTCCCTGCAGCCTTTTTAACAGAAAAGGCAGCATTTACATTACAGCCTAGGAACATCTCCAGTGGCCACTAGAAGTGCTTCCTGGATCAGTGCTGCACAGTGTACAGCACCAACGTTGAGGGTTTACGCTGAACTTTCCCCATAGAGATGCACTGATTCAATATATCTCTATGAGGAGATGCTGATTTGCCAGGGTGGTGTTTGGCTCTGCCCCACTAGTGGTCGTCTTTTTTTTCTGAAAATGCAGTATTTACAGTAAAAGTCTTCAGGAACTGACTATACTCACCAGACCAACTACATTAGGCTGTAGTTCTAGTGACTACAGTGTCACTCTAATAATTAAACTAACCTTAATCCTACTAGGCCTATGCAACCTTCAGCTCTCCAGATGTTTTGAACTACACCTCCCATGATGCTTTGTTATGGGAGATCCACAACATCTGTAGTGCCAAAGGTTGCCTACCCCGTGACCTACTCCATACCCTAATTCTATGTCTAAACCCAATTTTAACCTTAATCTCAATCCTAACCTTATAAACGGTGTTAGAAGGATTCCCTAAACTTATGTCAGCAGAGGCATCTGAAACCTAATCACAACCCTAAAAATCGTTCTAAACCCTTTAAATCTTAAATATAAACAGAATCTTAATCCCTAATTTACTCCAAATCCAAAAAGATTTCCCTCTGTTAATATCAGTGCTAATATTAGCAAAGGGAACGTTAAAGGGACACTATAATCACCAGAACAACTAAAGTTTATTGTATTTCTCCTAGGGAGTATAATCATTCCCTTTGCGCTATTTTGCAGTAAATACCTTCTTTTCAGGGAAAATGCTGTGTTTACATTACAGCCTGGGAATACCGCCACTCAGATGGCTGCTAGAGATTTAACCCTGCACACACACCGCATTGCTGTCTATGGGAGATTTAACCCTGCACACACCGCATTGCTGTCTATGGGAGATTTAACCCTGCACACACCGCATTGCTGTCTATGGGAGATTTAACCCTGCACACACCGCATTGCTGTCTATGGGAGATTTAACCCTGCACACACCGCATTGCTGTCTATGGGGGATTTAACCCTGCACACACCGCATTGCTGTCTATGGGAGATTTAACCCTACACACACACCGCATTGCTGTCTATGGGAGATTTAACCCTGCACACACCGCATTGCTGTCTATGGGAGATTTAACCCTGCACACACGCATTGCTGTCTATGGGAGATTTAACCCTGCACACACACACACACACCGCATTGCTGTCTATGGGAGATTTAAACCTGCACACACCGCATTGCTGTCTATGGGAGATTTAACCCTGCACACACAGCTGGGGTACACATGATGGGAGTTAATGTCCTGACAGCTGAGATAAACATGATGGGGGTTTAAACCTGCACACACCGCATTGCTGTCTATGGGAATTTAAACCTGCACACACCGCATTGCTGTCTATGGGAGATTTAACCCTGCACACACCGCATTGCTGTCTATGGGAGATTTAACCCTGCACACACACCGTATTGCTGTCTATGGGAGATTTAACCCTGCACACACCGCATTGCTGTCTATGGGAGATTTAACCCTGCACACACACCGCATTGCTGTCTATGGGGATTTAACCCTGCACAAACGGCATTGCCGTCTGTGGGAGATTTAACCCAGCACACACCGCATTGCTGTCTATGGAGATTTAACCCTGCACACACCGCATTGCTGTCTATGGGGATTTAACCCTCCACACACCGCATTGCTGTCTATGGAGATTTAACCCTGCACACACACCGCATTGCTGTCTATGGAGATTTAACCCTGCACACACCGCATTGCTGTCTATGGGAGATTTAACCCTGCACACACACACACACACACCGCATTGCTGTCTATGGGAGATTTAAACCTGCACACACCGCATTGCTGTCTATGGGAGATTTAACCCTGCACACACAGCTGGGGTACACATGATGGGAGTTAATGTCCTGACAGCTGAGATAAACATGATGGGGGTTTAAACCTGCACACACCGCATTGCTGTCTATGGGAATTTAAACCTGCACACACCGCATTGCTGTCTATGGGAGATTTAACCCTGCACACACCGCATTGCTGTCTATGGGAGATTTAACCCTGCACACACGGCATTGCTGTCTATGGAGATTTAACCCTGCACACACCGCATTGCTGTCTATGGGAGATTTAACCCTGCACACACGGCATTGCTGTCTATGGGAGATTTAACCCTGCACACACCGCATTGCTGTCTATGGGAGATTTAACCCTGCACACACACCGCATTGCTGTCTATGGGGATTTAACCCTGCACAAACGGCATTGCCGTCTGTGGGAGATTTAACCCAGCACACACCGCATTGCTGTCTATGGAGATTTAACCCTGCACACACCGCATTGCTGTCTATGGGGATTTAACCCTCCACACACCGCATTGCTGTCTATGGAGATTTAACCCTGCACACACACCGCATTGCTGTCTATGGAGATTTAACCCTGCACACACCGCATTGCTGTCTATGGGAGATTTAACCCTGCACACACACACACACACACCGCATTGCTGTCTATGGGAGATTTAAACCTGCACACACCGCATTGCTGTCTATGGGAGATTTAACCCTGCACACACAGCTGGGGTACACATGATGGGAGTTAATGTCCTGACAGCTGAGATAAACATGATGGGGGTTTAAACCTGCACACACCGCATTGCTGTCTATGGGAATTTAAACCTGCACACACCGCATTGCTGTCTATGGGAGATTTAACCCTGCACACACCGCATTGCTGTCTATGGGAGATTTAACCCTGCACACACCGCATTGCTGTCTATGGGAGATTTAACCCTGCACACACCGCATTGCTGTCTATGGAGATTTAAACCCCATTTTGCAGCGCACCGGTCAGTCTAGGGTCACTAAATATGCCCCAGCTCACCGTGGGGGATGGATAAATAGAGCTTGCCAGAGCCACATGTTCTGGACACATCACTAAAACACAGTGTAGGGCACAGAATGAAAAGTGCTGCCCTGCTGTATGAAGGATTCATATGCTGCATTACAGTGGAATGGTTCAGTCGGTGTCAGGATCCCCCTCTCCCCCAGTGGAATGGTTCAGTCAGTGTCAGGATTCCCCCCTCCCCCAGTGGAATGGTTCAGTCGGTGTCAGGATCCCCCCTCTCCCAGTGGAATGGTTCAGTCCGTGGCCCCCTCTCCCAGTGGAATGGTTCAGTCAGTGTCAGTATTCCCCCCTCCCCCAGTGGAATGGTTCAGTCCGTGGCAGGATTTCCCCCCCCTAGCTGTCATGTCACTTGGTTCAGCCCACTCTCCCGTCTTACCTGCAGGTGGTCTTGCCCACTCCTCCCTTCCCCCCCACGAAGATCCACCTCAGGGAGCGCTGGTCTATGATGTTGCTCAGTGTGGGTTCCAGGGGCTCCACGTCCGGGGCATCCTCAAACTCATCGTCCACCGGCGCCGCCATGTTCCCGCTACGTCACGTGACACAAGCAGCCAAGCACACAGAGAGCAAGTCCCCGCCTCTCTTCTCTCTATTTTCAGCCATTCTTGCAGCCCGTGAGCGCTGATTGGCTGTATGTATAGTTTTGTTGTGCTGTAATTGGTTGCTGAGCGTGTCAATCAATATCCACCCATGTCCCGCCCCCTGGTTTTTTTTTCATTGGCTTAAAGAATGCCTTGTCTTCACAAACCACGCCCTCATATAACCAGAACCATTCTATGTCTATGCCCAGAACTGCGTCAACTATATTTTCTTTCGTCGCTCATTGGCCGTCATATCTACCAATCAAATAGCCCAACTGCCCTAACAGCTATTTCCCATTGGTTCGTCGCACAGCCCATCACTGCCCTAGTTCGTACCCTCCCACACGTCTCATTGGATGGCGTCCTCTGCTTACTGGATCCCTATTGGCCAGTTACAATCTCACGCAATCGCTCTGTCCCCGCCCTCTTTGAGTCTTCGTGAAGTGAGCAACAGGACGCCATTTTGAAATCCGAGGCGCGCGGTGTTTCCGTTGGTGGGGGTTTCCCGCGCTGTGTGGCTCTCTGATCCCCGGCTGGGCCAGCATGGCGGACAGGAGCCGGCAGAGGGAATCGGACGACGACGAGGAGGAGGAAGCGGCCGAGGCCCCGGACAGTCCCGTATCGGAGGATCTGAGGGATGAAGGGCCGGCCTCCCCGAGCTCCCCGCCGGCCGGGCCCCCGAGCTGTCCGGTCTACCGCAGCCCCGCCAGCCGGACCCCCTCCTCCCCCGGACACGACTCACCGCCATCCTCCTCCGGGGTCAACCTGTTCGCCAACGACGGCAGCTTCCTGGAGCTCTTCAAGAAGAAGATGGAGCAGAAAGCGGCGGGGAAAGGCGAGGAGCCCCGGCCCACGGCGGAGAGAGTCCCGGAGCCGGAGAAGAGGAGGCTCATCGGCTTTGTAAGGACCCCCAGGGGCCACACAACCTGTAGAGCTGGGGCATCCCCGGCCCCTCCCCCAGCATGTCTGACTGAAACTCCCATCACTCACTGTGCTGCTGCTAGGAAGAGTGAGACCATTCAACCTCAGCCAGCCCCGTGCGTGATGGGAGTTAGTGTCCTGATAGCTGGGGTAAACATGATGGGAGTTGGTGTCCTGACAGCTGGGGTAAACATGATGGGAGTTGGTGTCCTGATAGCTGGGGTAAACATGATGGGAGTTGGTGTCCTGACAGCTGGGGTACACATGATGGGAGTTAGTGTCCTGATAGCTGGGGTAAACATGATGGGAGTTAGTGTCCTGATAGCTGGGGTAAACATGATGGGAGTTAGTGTCCTGATAGCTGGGGTAAACATGATGGGAGTTGGTGTCCTGACAGCTGGGGTAAACATGATGGGAGTTGTGTCCTGACAGCTGGGGTAAACATGATGGGAGTTGGTGTCCTGACAGCTGGGGTACACATGATGGGAGTTAGTGTCCTGATAGCTGGGGTAAACATGATGGGAGTTGGTGTCCTGACAGCTGGGGTACACATGATGGGAGTTAGTGTCCTGACAGCTGGGGTAAACATGATGGGAGTTGGTGTCCTGACAGCTGGGGTAAACATGATGGGAGTTGTGTCCTGACAGCTGGGGTAAACATGATGGGAGTTGGTGTCCCGACAGCTGGGGTAAACATGATGGGAGTTGGTGTCCTGACAGCTGGGGTAAACACGATGGGAGTTGGTGTCCCGACAGCTGGGGTAAACACGATGGGAGTTGGTGTCCCGACAGCTGGGGTAAACACGATGGGAGTTGGTGTCCCGACAGCTGGGGTAAACACGATGGGAGTTGGTGTCCCGACAGCTGGGGTAAACACGATGGGAGTTGGTGTCCCGACAGCTGGGGTAAACACGAGTTGGTGTCCCGACAACACCCTTACATTGGTGAACCAGTTTTGTTTCCAGCCATGGTGGCAAACCTAGTCCCCAACAGATTAAGTAAACATATCATCTAAATAAAATTACATTTTGTAAATCTGTCCAAGAGTTGAGGAAAAACCTGTCTGCAAAACCTAGCTTTGGTGTTTGTCAACCGCCACAGTAAAGTCCTTATAAACAGCAATTGACCCTTTGCATTGTCAGTAAGGTGTTTACTTTCATTTAAGTGAATCTATAATGGAAAAAATGACCTTCTGGAATTGCTCTCATATACATTGAATACTCCATATATCATAAAAATAAATGGTGTAGTCAATGTAACGATTTATTCACTTTTCCTCCACTCCAGCGCCACGTTGTGGGTGTTACTCTTTGGTTAACGCCCATCTCCTGGCAATCCTCTCCTCCGCCACTGGTATTCTTTGATTTGCTGTGTTTGGGGTGTCTGCACGCTGGCTTGGTTGTTGGCTCATGTCACTCCGTTTTTATACTGCTAGCGCTGGCTGGGGAGTTTCATAGCGCATGCTCCTTTCCTTGTCAGTCAGTGCCTCTGCATGCATTTTTAAATAGGTTTTTCTCCTAATCTATACATTTGCTAGCGCAATGTAGAGATAAAATCCTATAGTCAATGTAACGAGCATACATTGTTTGGGGCATGACAGGTGCCTTCTAACTAGATGGTGATTATATAGAAGGTATTTAGGTAAATTACCAAACCCCCCTCGTTGTGTTCTGTTATCTTCTGAACATGGGAGCATGCAGTTTTGTAGAACGTAACTTAGTGATGTAAATGTAGTAGATGAGTGACAATATTTTATTGTGCACTATATAGAATTAGCAGCCTTTACAAATCTGTGACACTGAAATCCTGTATTCAGCATTTCAGGCTGCCTTGGCTTTAGGAAGAATGTTTATGAGTGCGCAGATATATCTTCATCGTTTTAACATTAGTGACACTATATTCACAAAAACAACTTGAGCCTAATAAAGCAGTTTTAGTCTATAGATTATCATGCCCTTGCCATCTCACCAAATTGAACAGTGAGACTTCAGAGTCATGATCTGTGCACAAAAACTGCTTTATTAAAGGACCACTATAGTGCCCTGAGGGTGCCCCCACCCTCAGGGTCCACCTTCCGCCCAGCTCTGGGGAGAGGAAAGGGGGTAAAACTTACCTTTCTCCCGCGCTGGGCGGGGAGCTCTCCTCCTCCGTTCCTCCCCATCGGCTGAATGCGCACGCGCGGCAAGAGCTGCGCACGCATTCAGCCGGTCGCATAGGAACGCATTATCAATGATTTTCACAGTGAGAATCACGCAAGCGCCTCTAGTGGCTGTCGGTGAGACAGCCACTAGAGGCTTTGGGGGAAGGATTAACCCATTTGTAAACATAGCAGTGTCTCTGAAACTGCTATGTTTAAAAAAAAAAAAAAAAATGGGTTAACCCTAGAGGGACCTGGCACCCAGACCACTTCATTAAGCTGAAGTGGTCTGGGTGCCTAGAGTGGTCCTTTAAGTTGTTTTGTTGACTATAGTTTCCCTGTAATATTACCCATTTGGTTGTTGTGGATTCTAGCTCTTATGATGATCTGAAAGCCAAAGCAGCATGTTCTAATTAAAGTTTATTTTAATAGGACATAATTTTGTGGTGCTCTGTTTGTGTACATTTAGACTTGTGAGATTTTGTTTTTAATTCTGGTCTGTAATTCACTATATTGTGCTCAGTGTAACTGCATTATGTTAGACTGATTTGTGAATGTCATTTACAGAAGTTTGGTCTACTACAAACTGAGGTTGAGTAGAGGGGGGTAAGCTAACCTATTGGCTTTCTTTGCATCCACAGCAGTGATGGTTAATCTTTGGAACTATGTTTATTGTGATTAATGTTTTCATCAAAACCCAGACAGCTGTTTTGGTAGTAGTGTTGTCTACAGCAGCTGTTAGAGGTTAGCCAACACTAATATATGTATTTTTGTTTCAAGCTAATAATATACCCTGTGTATACTGGAGGAGTCTGGTTTAGGGAATGTGGAGATTCTCTGCTGGTAGGGAGTGTATTGCGCCTGTCTAACCCAGGCCTCCCTTATATTCTGCTATATAGAGGGACACAGAGAGGCTGCAAGGGCTCGTATAACGGTTGCAGTCTTCTGTTCCTTCCACCCCCAGGTGGGCAAGCGTAGAGGAGGGGCGAAGCTGGCCCTGAAGACAGGCATTGTAGCAAAGAAACCAAAGACAGATGAAGAAGAGGTGAGCAAAAATATTGAATTATTCTATGTTTAATTCTTTCCTTCACTCTGTAATCTGTCACATTTTGTATGTACTATTTGCAAGATCGAAGATTTTATACATTTGAGGAAAATTGTGTTTTTAATAGAATAGTTAAATTGGGTTTTCATGATTTTTATTTTATATTTTTTTTAATGTGTAAAAGTTTTGCTGTGTAGCATTCTGCGCGCGGGAGCTCACTCTCTGTAATAAACAATGATGCATTTCTTATTTGGCCAGCAGTTAAATGCTTGGTCAATAATCAGGATCTAAAAATTGGCTAAAATAAAACAAACACTCCAAGAACAAACAAAAAAACAAAGTGCTATGTGCTTAAAGGCGCTTGTGCTCTAGCAAGGTGCAGATATATAGCAGCAGCTACCACATGGGAGAAGGGACTCTCATCCCTTACACAATAGAATATAGAAATAATACAGCCTATGTGATAAAATGTACGTTTGACCACTAGCTGTAATTGTAAACAAAATAAACACTTGCTGCTAAGTGTTAACATAGCAGTGCAAAGCAGAAAAATAATAAAGCATATATAGTGTAATACAATAGTGAAGGAGATATAAAGTCACAATGGGAACACTCACATGGAAAAGAGCCAAATACGACAGGCTCAGATCACAAAAGCTTGTGTGTATTCTGGTGACACTGACCCTCTTCTTTCTTTAAATGTCTCGGTGTGCAAAAATGAAAGAGGGGGGGAGAGATGGAGACAGCGTGGCTCCTAGTACATGTAGATGGGCCTTTAAGGGGGCTACTACAATTCTTTAACAGCAGCAGTAAATAATCCAGTTGGACAACTTCATGTGTATAAAACCAAATTTATTTGAAAACATATAAAATCAAATGCTGGAAGTAACGCATACAGTTTTTAAAAAGTCCTGTGAATCCTCTTGTTCCAAAAAGCGTTTCACTGTATAAATACAGCTTTTCCAATCAGTGACTTGCTTGCTGATAGTCAAGGTTTAAAAACACCTACCTTTCCGGTGATTGGGGTTAGATCACAAGTCCGCCAATCACGTGTTTGATATCTGGGGATGTGTGTTGAGCAGCTGTATTGGGTTGGTAATATCGCCCAGTTTTGAAACGTCGCTCGTAGCTTATTATGCCATGCTCAACGTCACCAATAGGCGTGTGCTTATGTTACCATGATTCCTTGTAGCATCCTTGGTATCCAGGAAGTGACGCAGCGAAACAAGTGTTGTCACTTCCCCATCGTCCGACAGTCATTTTGTAAGTTGTATACCTCATCCAATGCCAGTACCATATTCCTCCTCTATTAGTTTCGTAATTGATGTCACGATGATCATCTCCATGCCGGGCAAAGTTCCAATACAGTGGAATAAATCATCCAATAGTGTCCTCATAACAAATAGTTCCATTCACTCATATTTGTGGGGTTTAAAAAGCATATAAATAAATCGATTAATGGTGTATACACAAAAACTTTGTCTCACACAATACATAGTGACAGATGGGGGTTGTATGTATGGGAGCTTTTCAATACTATTATAGTATTTTGAAAGAATATACATATATAGGAATTAAAGGTCACGCCGATTGGTGACGTTGAGCGTGGCATAATAGGCTATGGGTGGTTTTAAAATGGGGCGAGATTAACAACCCAATACAGCTGCTCAACACACACCCCCGGATAACAAACACGTGATTGGCACACTTGCGATCTCTATGCCGAATCAGAGCAAAGGTTTTTAAATCGAAAAGGCTTAAAATTGAAAAAGCTGCTATTATACAGTGAAGCGTATTTCAGAACAAGAGCCCAGAAATGAAAATTAACCCCACCGTAACATACCATAGATTTTATGGTGGTGTAGAAAGTTATAGGGTTAAATATAGGGCTTGCCAATTAAATTCTCTGGACCGTCTACCTGGGTTGTCAAGCAGGTCCCTCAAATATAATTACTAAAATAGAATAATTATGTAAAATTAATAGTTGAATATATATATTACAAATAAAGCATTTTATAATATATCATACATATATAATACATGTATATGATTTCATTATAAGTGCACTTTGTGATATACAGTATATAACAAAGTACACTTATAATGAAATCATATATGTATAATATAAAACGCTTTAATTATTTTAAAATATATTATATATGTATAATCTAATTATTTTTTTAAAAACTTTTTTAGGAGTCAGGGGGACTGCCTGACAGCGTCCCCCTGCAGGCAGCTCCATAGACTCCTATTGCAGCCATGTGATCATAGTGATCACATGACCCTGGAGGGCCGGAGAGGCCAGAGCTGCTGCAAGGGGACTGCTGGGGTCTTGGGCAGTCCCCCTGGACTGGGATCACCGGTGAGTGCAGGACGGCTGGGCGTACTATGCCGCCGTTTAAAGCCACCCTTTCAAGTACTGCATAGTGTGTCCGCAGTCTTTAAGGGGTTAAAGAAAGAAGAGGGTCAATATCACCAGAGTACGCACAAGCTGTTGTGTTTATTTTGTTTAGTGCTCTATAATAACAACTAGTGGTGAAACTTACATTTTATCACACAGGCTGTATTATTTCTATACTCCAAGACCCAAAACCACTACTTGTTAATGTAGTGATTATGGTGTCAGGAGTGCCCTGGCGCCATCCCACAGTAAGATGTAAAACCGTTTTAGGTAGGTTTTACAACTTACCTGCTGGGCACCACATCTAGTCTTTTCCAGCAGGAGAGGCTGTATTGCTTTATAGAGTCAATGAACAATAGTGCTCATTGGTGGAGCGTGCATAACTGATGCTCTCCGTCAATAGCTGCAGTTTCGCTCTGCGCAGTGACGTCTTGCTTCTCCTATTAGAAAAGACCAGATGTGACTCTGGGTTCCAGTGGGAAATAGGTATACTATCAAACCGTTGTAGCATAGTTTGACACAGAACAAAGGGACAGTGGCCATGGGCTTCTAGTGCCGTAACACTATAATGGGTAGTGTTAGTTATTTTCTTTGACTGTCTGTTTTCAATAAAATTGTCCTTATCCTTAACAAGTGAAAATTGTCTTAATCCTTAGCATTATTAGAGGTTGATGTCACTGGATGGGATGCCGTAGGTTAGACTTTTAAGAAACAAACCTAAAGTGAATGTGTCGTCATAGGTTTGCCTAAATCTATAGCAACACATATACAATTTATAATACAGTTAAATTGTATTTTGCTTTAGCAGTTACTATCCTAATTCCTCTATGGCATGCAAGTGCCACTACAATGCTTGGTGGTCTGTTGGTATTATAATTATTTAAAACCTACATTCCAGCCCTGTCTACCTCCCACTTCTCTGTAATCTGATTGTTTCTGTTTGGGGATAAGTGCATGTTCTATTTATGTCAATACCGTATTGTTTCCTGATCTTTGTGTATTTGGCTGTAATGGCTAACCTTTGACGAGCAGCTGTCATATGTCTGAGCACCACAGAAAATTTTTGGTTGGTTTGCTACTTAAAGCTGTCCTTCGCAAATGTCTCCATTTACTTCCTGCATACCGTCTGGTGCTTCATCTGCCAGAAGCTGCGTCAGTGCTGTATTCTAGCGAGCGCAACACTTATGTCTATGGAGGAGTCCATAGCCATAGGTATATTCATCTCACAATGAGTGTGAGACAATGTCTGAATCTCTCACCTCTACTTTGTCTTATGTAATCTTTGGATTTTGTTGGAATTTCAACTAAATTCTAACGCAGTCCTCACGAGTGCTTCATAAAGATTATGTCTCTATGAAATACACGCAAGTGGCAGTCACTTTAAAGTGATATTATATTTCCTCCAAAACAAATTGAGCTTAATTAAGTAGTTTTGGTGTCTAGATCATGCCCCTGTAGTCTCACTGCTCAATCCTATGCCATTTAGGAGGTAAAGGGACACTGTAGGCACCCAGACCACTAAAGCTCATTAAAGTGCAATGTCCCATGTCACTTAACCCTATAGTGGTAATTAATTATTGTAGTTTCTAAGAAAATTACCTTGCAGGGTTAAGTCCTTGTCTAGTGGTTGTCTATAAGACAGCCATTAGAGGAACTTCCAGGTACTTAGGCAACTTTTGGTTGTCTAAACAACGTTGGACGTCCTCGCGCTATGCATGAGGACTTGCAGCATCACCGGAATCCCCATAGCAAAGCATCGACTAATGCTTTCCTATGGGGAAATCCTAATGCGAGCGCAGCCATTGCTGCACATGCGCATTAGGTCTCCCCCGCCGGCTGATGTCGGAGGGAGAGGAGCTTGGGTGGAGCCTGACGCAGCACAAAGATAAATCGGTGGATTGCTAGATTCAGGTAAGTGACTGAAGGGGTTTTAACCCCTTCAGCGATATGTTATATAGGCGGGAGGGAGGGAGATTTGTTTCCCTGGCACTAGAGAATCCCTTTAAATAACTTTGTTTATACAACCCTAGTAATATCTCTTTGCATGTAATGTGCACAGCCTTTCTAAACATTAATGTTTACATTCCCTCTATTGCACCATATGTTTAAATAAAGCATCACTATAGTGTCAGGACACTATATAATCCTTAGGGTCCCACCACCCTCAGGGCCCCCCTCCTGCTGGGCTGAAGGGGTGAAAACCCCTTCAGCCACTTACCTCCTCCCCCTCCGACGTCAGCTTCCGAGTGGAGCCAAATGCGCATGCACGGCCAGCGCGCGCATTAAAAACTCCCATAGGAAAGCATTTCTCAATGCTTTCCTATGGACGTTCTGCGTGCTCAATGCGATTTTCGCATTGAGCATCGCAGAAGCGCCTCTTGCGGCTGTCAGGAAGACCGCCACTAGAGGCTGAATAAACCCTGCAATGTAAACCTAGATCACTTCATTGGGTGACTATAGTGGTCCTTTAAGAATGTCTTATCTTCTATAGTGTTAACAGTACAAAAGATAAGCCTCTTGTGTGTGTGCTTCAAGTTCGGTTTACAGAGCAGGAGAAAATTGTTGCAAGTTAACCTCTGATTGAATTTTTTTAGTGCAAGCTGTCAGTCATAGCTAAGGGAGGTATGGCTAGGGTTGTGTATATATACAGGCTGGCCCATAAGTCCCTACCCATCCAGCACACAGATACACTGGATACATAAGATATATGGATGGATAGGGACTTATGGGTCACCCTGTAGAAACCAAAGTGATTATAAACACTTAAATGGCCGGGAATTAATTAGTGAGACTTCAGAGGCATGATCTATACACCAAAACTGCTTCATTAAGCTAAAGTTGTTTTACTGACTATAGTGTACCTTTTGACTTTCTATAATAGTACTGTCTGACAATCCCATTAAGTACGGCTTTCCAGGCACAACATGGGCTTTCATGAGTTGCAGTTCACTTGTTTTCCTTTTCTACAGTAAAAATCTGTAAATTCAAATACACCTCTCTGAAACGTGTGCTATGCATCCTGATTACATCATATACATATATGTATTATTGGAGGAAAAAAGAGAGCTAGAAATAGTAAACATGTAATGCAAAACTAAACAGTACCCTGTAAAACTAAGGATTCTTAAGCCTACACATTGTATCAGATGTGTGGGTGCCAGGGTTTCCCCTTAAAAGTATTTTCATTTGCCCGATGCAATTTGTAAATCTTTTTCCAAAATGCATTTGATTTGTCTGATTCTCTTTTCTTATGTCTTCCACAGGTATTGTCAAACAAAGGCGGAGCCTGGGCACAATATATGGCCGAGGTGAAAAAATACAAAGCCCACCAGTGCAGTGACGATGACAAAACGCGACCGCTGGTCAAATAACACAATGAGACACCGAACAGCTTTATAAGCACTGTTGGTTACTGCTTTTAAGCTATCATGAAAGGGGATATCTTATTCACAAATACACCTATCCTCTCCATCCTTGCTGGTTCATGTTGTTCCCTTCGTGATCTTGGAATATACCTTGCTAAAACCCTTTTGCGGACTCAGGGGAGAAAAGACTTCCTAACCAGAAATTCAATTTGGGGTGCATTGTTGGTTTTTTGTTTTTTTTCCTCAGACAAGGATTTTTCTGCATTTCATACCTGCTTTTCAGCACCTCTGACGCCTTTCTCCCCAAAACCCTGTTTACAGCTGCAGAATTGAGGAGTATAGATATGTTTTGTTTATTTTTCCTATGGGACTTGGATGTCTTATGTTTCGTTTATTCGCAGATTGCTTTTGTTCAGATTCTCAGTGTAGACCATTCTTATTAAACTAATTTAGCACCAAGTCAATACTCACAACTCTTTTATCTGCCAAAAGCTAACCCATTCCACAGCACTGAACAGTGCTTCCAAAACTAACCTCAATTTTCAAAGTCTGTGTAACACTAGTCCCCATAATTCTTATTTATGAAATATTAATCCACCTACATGCTTTTTTAAATGTAGAAACCACTGCAAATTTACCTTTTGTGTACAGGCTGCAATAAAGTGGACTTGAGAAGTGAGAGTATCTATGAAAAGGGATGTCTAGTAATGTGTTGCAAACAGGTGTATTCCATAAACTTGGGATCATAAAAAACAGAACCTGCAGATCTGCCTCTTGATCCTCTTCTCATCAGCAGGGGCATTGATCTACAACTCCCATCATTCCCTTCCTCAATGAAGTGGCCTGGGTGCATTGGTCTTGTCATTTTAACCCTTCAAGTTAAAATTGTCGTTTTGCAAAAATTACCATGTTTAACTTGAAGGGTTAAACATTCTCCCAGTGGCTGTCATACAGACACTAATACTTCATTGTATGACATTTGACATTGCATGTTATCAATGCTTTCCTATGGGAAAAGCTTATATAAGAGTATTTGATTGGACCACTGTGAAATAGACTACAATAAAGGAAGTGTAAACAGAACTTACTTTACATGAAGTGTTTAGGAAGGCAATGTGAGGCACATGCAGGGAGGTGTACCTAGGGCTGTATAAACAGTGATTTAACTCCTAAATAGCAGAGAATTCAGCAGTAACACTGCAGGTCGCATGATCTATACACTAAAACTGCTTGATGGACCACATCACACTGTCATCCTAAATTTAGAGGGCTTTAACACCATTAGTGCAGTATAGCATACCCCTAAGATGTCTCTCCTTCCAGTCTGCCTTCTAACCCATGCTGGCGATTGGGGACCTGTCAGACACATGATCGTAGTGACAGCCTGTTAAATGAATGAGACATTATCTCTGTCCTTCTTTCCTCAGTTTGATCATTGGTTGAGGGGGGGGGGTCATTAATTTTATTTATTTTTTAACCTTATCACTGTACAATATCGATGCTGTATCAGGGTGATCAGAGGGCTGACTCTCTGGTCATGCAGATTTTTTTTTTTTTTTCCATTTCTATTGAATAAAGAAAAATAACGCTGCTGGTGCTTGCTCTATCAGTAATATTATTATGTTTGGGTTGGATGTAGGATTTTCTGTGTGTGGTAGTGTGAATTTTAGGTGTTTATCGTATTGGGTGTTAGGCAGGTAGGCAAATTAATTTAAAAAAAAATCTCCCTTAAATGGCACGCTTTTATACGGCTATATAGTCTTTGTAGACTACAGCAAGTATATGGGAGGAGTAGATTTGGTGGGTCAATGTATACAGCCTTATCTGGTGAACTGAAAAACTAGCTTCTGATATAAGAAAATTGCAATCCATAAAAGCAGATATCGGGAAACCATACCCATTTCTTGGTTTTTATGTTCTGTATTATGGTCCAGTATAACTTTTTGTAATCAGAGGATATCCAGAGTTTGTGGAGCACTTTCCTTTCCAAATCCCCATCCCCCACATACATGCACACCCAGTAAAATGTGACACCAGAGAATGTGTCATGTTTGCTATAAGATGGAATTTTGAAAGGATTCTAGTTATTACTGTCCTCTGCAGAATAGATTGTTTCAAAGTCTACTATACAGAGGTGAACATTTGTATCACTCTGGTGACTTTATCAGTTTGTTCTGGATTCCTGACCTCGGCTTACCCTGAATATTGTGTTAGCTCCCTGTACCGACTTATTGGCTTTTTATATCCATTACTCTGACTTCTGGATTCCCCGAACCTGTTCCTGTTTACATTAAGCACAGCCTTTATAAAGTGGCTACACCCAACAACTCAAAATACTACTTTTAGAATACTTGTTAAAATGACATACCTTCACGGGTGCACTTTTCTTGCTTAGGGTGCCATGTTCTCTTAAATGTGACAGAAAATCACTTTTGCCAATTTCAAGTTAAAAGGAGCAATGACCTTGTTTTGCTATATGATGTACCAAATAAAAACAGTACAGAGGGGCAATGTTATATTTTTGAGACAAAGTAAATACAAATAATGAGATTTTATTTCATTAAAACATATCAAAATGATAAAATTCATGTATGCTGGAAAAAAACCAAAAGAAAATATGACCACCAAATGGGGCCACTATTAGTTATGAAGTGGCTAGACCAAATATCTCAAAAAAGGTTATTTGGAATACCCTGGTTTGCCTACTTTTAAAAATAGTATGCAATCATTGGGGTAATTCTAAATCCTGGGCTGCCATACAACATAGGCCCAGCAGCCCAATCTGGCAAACGTCAATGTGTAAAAACTGAAATAGACTAGCACTATATTTGACCTGGTAACTTTTCAAACCACCGTTAAACCTGTACATGGGGTTGGGAGGGCATTAACGCATACAAATGTGTATTTTATTGCAGTAAAAGTTAACTGTATTAGGACAGATCTCTATTTCTAATGAAACAGGCCTGATGCCTCTTTTCAATTAGCTCCCCAAATGTAAAATTAAAAAAATAAATCACTTGCGTTTTCTTTAGGGCCAAGTCTCCTCCTCCATAAGTGCATGCACGGCATTCATTGACATAGAAAATAATTGTATGCAACACTTCTCTATGGACCATGGTTCACTGTGATGTCACCACACGTGTGTGTGACATATCTTACAGTATGAGAGTAGGGAAGTATGATTCCAAGCCTGTTAATTTGTTTAAAATGTTTCAGGGAGCAGGACTGCAGGCACTATAATGACTTCAATAAGGTGACTACATAAATGCCTACAGTGACCCTTTAAGCTAAAGTTGTTTTGATGCCTGTAATATCCCTTTGAATACAGCATTCAGGCGTGCATTGGACACCTGAAACTACTTGCTGTGACACAAGGGATAGTTCTGGTCTTAGTGCCTCTTTAGAAATGTGATTACTTGTGTATGTAGCTGAGATCTCTAGATAAGCTGGTGAAATACATTGATTGGATTTTAAAGTGTTTCTTGCTGAGTAAGAACAGTGTCCACACATTCTTCCCTTTTAAAAGTAACATTCAAAGGGATTCTGTAAGCACCTAGACAACGTTAACTTAAAGGACCACTACAGGCACCCAGACCACTTCATCTTAATGAAGTGGTCTGTGTGCCAGGTCCAGCTAGGTTTAACCCTTTTTTCTATAAACATAGTTTCAGAGAAACTGCTATGTTTACACTGAGGGTTAATCCAGCCTCATTGACAACCGCTAGAGGCGCTTCTCACTGTGATTTTCATAGTGAGAAGACGCCAGCGTCCATAGGAAAGCATTGTGAATGCTTTCCTATGGACTGACTGAATGCACATTCAGCCGAGGAGGAGAGTCCCCCGCCCAGGGCTGGAGAAAGAGGTAAATTTAACCCCTTCCACCCCCTAGAGCCTGGCGGGAGGAGGGGCCTGAGGGTGGGAGCACCCTCAGGGCACTATAGTGGTCCTTTAAGCATTTTTGATGCATAGATCATCCCCCGTACAGTTCAGTTCTCTGCGATTTAGGAGTTAAAGCACTTAAAGGAACGCTATAGGGTTAGGAACACAAACGTGTTTGTTTCCTATACTGTTAGAACGTTATCTGGCCCTCCTTTGTTCCCTTAAAGATAGTAAAAACTCCTTATTTCTAGTCTGGTGGTGCTGTTACTGCACATTGTCAGAAGTGATGAGCTCAGCCAAGCATAATGCTTTCCCATAGGAAAGCATTATGATTGACTTAGAATTATCTCAGCCAAAAGGATACTGGGTGAGCCAAATGCCATCCAGTATCTCCTCATAGAAATGCATCTCTTTGAGGAAAGTTCAGTGTCTCCATGCAGACAGTGTGCAGCACTGGAAGCATCTCTAGTAGCCATCTGTGGAGTGGCCAGTGGAGGTGTCTCTAGGCTGTAATGTAAACACTGCCTTTTCTCAGAAAAAGTGTTTACTGCAAAAAAGCCTGCAGGGACAGACTATACTCACGAGAATAACTGCGTTAAACTATAGTTCTTCAGGTGACTAGTGTGTGTCCCTTTAAATCTCACTTGACACCTGTGTGAAAGCTTTAGAGTGTAAGTGGGGACAGTGAAATGCAATGTGGTAACATGTTTAGGGATTTATGGGAAGACTAATGTAAAGGTAGAAAATACCTATTCCTAAAGAGGTGAGTTTCAAGGTTGTTCTTAAAGAACTATTAAAAACAGAACCAAGCATAAATATAACAACACATTCTGCCTAAAAAGTAAAAGCATATAAAACCAAGAAAATACCCCCACTTATCTAATCTTAGAAGAGAATAATAGTTTGACTTGACCATGGATGGTTGGTTACAGAGGAACATCACTGAATCCAGAATTAAAAGAAAAATAATAATTGTACACATGAAGCTTAATTTATTTTGCTCAAGTTAGCATTTCATGCTCAAATATTCAAATTCACTCCCCACCTGCCCCCTGGTGTTGGGTATTGCAAGAGTGCATTCATGTATACACAGCCACTGAAACAGTCCTACTTGTAACATCACTACAAGATGGGTCTGAGATAAGACAGTGGCAGTAGCATTTTTCCTACATTATCAATAGGCAACCTTCGATTCTCCAGCTATCAGGGACACATTTACAATAATGGAAAAGCATCTGGGAAAATGTAGTCCATAATGCCAAAGGTTGCCCACCCCTGACCTACATGATCACAAGGAGGGTTTTAGATTAGACACTGGTCAGTAACAGTCTTTCGGCTAACCAGGCATGGCTCCAATATAGGTCTCAGATCAAAACACATGCCACAAGCAATCTTGTGGTTACAAAATTACTTATTTTGAAATCTGGATTTATTTTTCACTTTTAGACAAGCTCATATCTTGGACTGAGCTGTGAGCGCTAGACAAATTAACCAGGTTTCAAGCTGCCCATGGCACTTCCAAGTTCACAGCCCTATTGATTTCAGACACCACTAACCATCAGTAAACTGGTGCAGGATTCTCAGGCGTAGCACTGCAATGGGGTACTTCACCGCCCTGCGTGTCTGGCACAGTGGATTCTAGCGAGCGCCTGAAATTATAAAACTCATTTACTGATAGACAGTGGGCTGAAGATTGTTAAAATCCTACAGTTCCTAAAAAGCAGCTTCAGAATAAGGCTCCTTACAAAGATTGGAAATTTCGACTCTTTGCACAAGATGAGTGCAATCTCACAAGCAAATTGTAATATTTGGTTTCAGAATGCATTTATTACTCCTATCTACCACTTTATACAAAATTCATTGGTCAAGCAGCTGTGTTTCATCCATTCAAAGTATCTCATTACCTCCATTTTTTTTTTACGGGGCATAACATAGGGGCAAAGCCTGCCTATACTGCACCTGGGTGACGTTTCCCATGGTACAGTCTCTCCACTCACTAGTGAAATAACATTTTGTCTAGAAGAAACTAACAGTTCTATGGAAAATCCCCCACCTTGGCCATACTAGAACCAGAGGGGGTGCATGAATTTCAATGCACGTACAATTAGCTTGCAATAACCATGTCTTGTATTTGGCAATAGACTTTTTTTAAAACATAGCAATATTATGTATCCATGTTTGTTATATACCAAAATGGACTACCTTAAACATATCTGCTATTAGAAAGCCTTATGCCTGCAAAAGTACAGTCCATTAAGCTGGGGAATTCAATCCTGTAAGCCGGAGCACATCTTGTCTGTTTGATACAGACTTGCTGAAGCAATTCCACTCCTCCATGTACGCAGATACACTGACATTGCTAAGCCTTTTAGAAGAACAGTGATCTTCTGCAGATGATCTTTCCATAGGTAAACACACATCATTGGCCAGTACCAGTAGAGAATAGCCTCAGCGGCTCCGTTGTTAATATGGATTTGGAGTACTTGTGCAGCCAATCAGTGTGTCTCGTAGGATGAGAGGAGAGCAGCATCCACTGGCTCCATGCATGAAGGGCAGGTAAACGACCTCATTAGCCAGTCGTCTATACATTCCACATGGTAAATGTGCATACAGGGGAGGAAGCGTACAGGGTCTCCGCTAACAAAGTCCAACATGCAAATCACACACCTGCAGAAACAAGGACAAGAAATTCAAGATGTCCTCAGTCCCCATTTAGGATTGTCTTACTTCCCATTTCCCAGGAAATACAATGGTTATCTCTCAGCTAATACCACCCTTTACTCAATCTGTTATAACTTACCATAACATAATAAAAAGTCATAGAGAAACATAAGACTAAGTTCCAGGAGGTACACATTTGATGTTTTGTAGTGTAACTAAGCTTATGAATAAGATATAATCTTTTTAACATGATATGTGGTCCTCTGCAATAATTAGTGGATAAAAGAGAAGTTCAGTATATATTACTCTTTAAAGGAACGTACCCATCCCATAGCAACCTCATCTCCTGCTCATGAGCTTCCTTTAACCCTCCTGACCTAAGCATGCAATGCAGGTCCAATTTCTTGGCCAACAACATCCAGCTGCATGGAGCAGTGCCTGGTGGATCCTCGGTGAGAAGTCAAGACTACCAACATTGAGGCACCATAATCACTACAGTGGCACAGACTGTTCCTTTAAAGTGAATCTCCCATCCCCCAAACTAATCATGCTCTCTTTAATGAGCATGACATTTTATCTATATATTTTGTTGGTGGTTTTGTTTACGTGTATATATATATATAGATTGGGATAAAAATCTATTCTTTGGATAAGACTACGTTGAAGACTTGATTGACAAGGAGAGCAAAAGAGACCTCCTTCTGCTCTCCACCCATAGGAACCAAAACACATGCATTGCGGTTGCTATGTAACTAGCAGCACAGGCTATGGAGTGACGGAGAACTCCGTTTAGACATTTGACATGTGGTCTACTAAGCCAGTGTGTCGGCATCATGGAAGAGGTTTTCTCTGCTTGGGAATCTTCCCAAGGCAAAGCAAATCGGATGAGCAGCAAGGGTGGTCCAGATGTACATGCTACAGAATTGTAACACCTACCTCTGGAGAGAGAAAGAGAGAGAAAGAGAGAGAGAGAGAGACATTGTTTCTATTTTATTTAAGTGCTATAGAGTATCAACTCACTCTTTAAGCTTCTTCTCTGCATGGTCAGATCCTGGATCATATTTGCCCTTAGGAAGATGCTGTATAAGTCCAATTCTTTGGGCTATCCACACTTGCTCTTCCTCTGTAAGCTGGGTTGCAAGGCGGGTCTGGCTGGGTGTGGGGTGATACACGGGAATAGCATCCCTCTCCTGAAACAAGAGGACAATGTAAGTAAATAGCATTTTATGGTTTTAGTTCCAGGAATTTTCTTACTTATGACTAAATATTTGCGATTTCACTCAACCAACACCACACAAGGCACTGAATAGCAGTGGGCCAGGGAAAACCTACAGTCTTTTCACATGAAATGTGTATTTAGAGATGGTAATATTATATAGCTTGTTATCAGATGGGTGGTTAGCTGTGATCCATGTGCATCTCCTATTAAATTCTGGGGCTCTTAGAAGTTCATAAGGCTCATGAATTAAATTGGAGGAGTGCAGAACATAAGATTTTAAATGAAACAAGTTGCAAAAAAGGAAGTGTATATAAACCTTGGATCTCACTTTACAGGAAGTGTTTAGGAAGACTGTTCACATAAGAACATGGGCAGTGAGACTGCAGTGATCTGTACACTATAGTCACCAGAACAACTACAGTTTAATGTAATTGTTCTGGTAAGTAGAGCCTGTACCTGCAGGCTTTTTAATGTATACACTTACATTACAGCCTAGGAACAACTCTAGTGACCAGTCCTCAGATGGCATCTAGAGGTGCTTCCTGGGATGTGCAGCACTGCTGTTACAGGTCTCCACGCTCTGCACGGAGACGCTGAATGTCCTACATAGAGATGTATTGAATCAATGCATCTCTATGAGGAGATGCTGATTGGTGCAGTGTGGTATATTGGGAACACATTGGATTGGCTAAAATCATCAAATCTTGTCATGTCAGCCAAGTATGGATCGGGGGCTGAGCCATAAGACTTCGTTCAGAACTCTACAGCTTATGTAATTCTGCAAACAATAACTGTCCTAGATGATCACTTCTGGAAGCCTTCAAGTAATTTGCACCTCGTGGTTATCCCTTAAAGTTGTGGTGGTGAAGACACTTCCAGCTGTTCCATTGTGGTGAATATTTGTGATCTCCTCACAGCATGCCTTTTTCAATGTACCACTGAGAAGATTTAGACTTCTATTTCGACTTGGCCTCTTACTTATTTGTATGTTTCCCCAACTTCTTGATGGCCTGCTTTATTTACGTTGAACTGTGTGTTGCCGATGTTTAGAGACAACAACAGCACCAGACTACAAAGGCAGAAGCACCAACAAGATTCAACTCTAGGCACTATCAAACCTTTTGCATGAAGTAATGTTCAAACAACAACAACAACACACATCTGACCAAAAACACAGAGAATCAGCCAGCTGTACAGTTTTAGTCAAAACCATACGGACTGCCCTGTACATTTACACAGGACCTAATAAATGATATATAATTATATTATATATAAATCTACACACAGTTTTATTGTAATTTCAGGGATCACAGCAATAGACTTCCATTATTAACTGTTCATTTAAAGTCCTTAAAGCACACTCTCTCATAACATTACATGTATGTTATGGTGATCACATTTAATCTTTAAAACAGCGTTCTGGGCAACATCAACATTGTATGCTGATGTAGCTGTTACGGTGCCGTACCTAACGTAAAAGTTCCACTTCCACATTGGCAATATCAATTTCTTTAGATATTGGTAATGTGGAAGCTGAATTTCTGCGTTAGCCGTTTCAGCTAACTAGTGAGGCTATAGATGCTCGGGGGCCCAGCTTTAGTCAAACCTATCAAACGGTTTGATGAAGAACGAAGGGACAGCATCCACAACCTGAAAGCACCACAACCACTATACTAGCATATAGTGGCCATAAGCCATGACTGCTCCTTTAACAGATTAAAACATGTAGAACAGGGATAGGAAACCTTCAGAAATCCAGATTTTGTAGGCTACATTTCCTATAATGCTGGCAAAGCAGCAAAGGAAATGTAATCGCAACATCTGGCGGGCCGAACAATGTAAAGACACAATGCAGAATACATCTCTAATTAAAGGAACTGCAAGAGTGACATTGTGTGCATCATAACACAAGCAATGATAATAGCTATACAGCCAACAGTCTTATGTAGAAAGAAAAGAAAAAAAAAAAACTGTTTTGTTTATCTGAAAATTAGACCAAAAAAAAACAGTGATTAGTCATTATAGCAAACCAGCTACACACTAGGGCTATTCCCTGAAATGTACATTTTTCAGAAATTAAAGTGATTTTCAGATTTCAGGCCAAAATAGCTCAACTGAAAACAAAACTGAATTTTCCCCAACTCGCCCTTTAGTAAAAATCTCTGCCAGACAGTGAATCACCCTGTTACATGGCTGTAGGGCCCAGCCCAGTATACCGACAGCCAGTCTGGGTGCAATGGGCTGAGCCCGGTATACCGACAGCCAGTCTGGGTGCAATGGGCTGAGCCCGGTATACCGACAGCCAGTCTGGGTGCAATGGGCTGAGCCGTGTATACCGACAGCCAGCCTGGGCGCTGTGTATACCGACAGCCAGCCTGGGCGCTGTGTATACCGACAGCCAGCCTGGGCGCTGTGTATACCGACAGCCAGTCTGGGTGCTATGGGCTGAGCCCGGTATACCGACAGCCGCTATGGGCTGAGCCCGGTATACCGACAGCCAGTCTGGGCGCTGTGTATACCGACAGCCAGCCTGGGCGCTGTGTATACCGACAGCCAGCCTGGGCGCTGTGTATACCGACAGCCAGTCTGGGCGCTGTGTATACCCACAGTCAGTCTGGGCGCTGTGTATACCCACAGCCAGTCTGGGCGCTGTGTATACCCACAGCCAGTCTGGGCGCTGTGTATACCCACAGCCAGTCTGGGCGCTGTGTATACCCACAGCCAGTCTGGGCGCTGTGTATACCCACAGCCAGTCTGGGCGCTGTGTATACCCACAGCCAGTCTGGGTGCTGTGTATACCCACAGCCAGTCTGGGCTATACACAGCCAGTCTGGGCGCTGTGTATACCCACAGCCAGTCTGGGCGCTGTGTATACCCACAGCCAGTCTGGGCGCTGTGTATACCCACAGCCAGTCTGGGTGCTGTGTATACCCACAGCCAGTCTGGGCTATACACAGCCAGTCTGGGCGCTGTGTATACCCACAGCCAGTCTGGGCGCTGTGTATACCCACAGCCAGTCTGGGCGCTGTGTATACCCACAGCCAGTCTGGGCGCTGTGTATACCCACAGCCAGTCTGGGCGCCGTGTACACTGACAGCCAGTCGGGGCGCTGTGTATACCGACAGTCAGTCTGGGAGCTGTGTATACCGACAGCCAGTCTGGGCGCTGTGTATACCGACAGCCAGTCTGGGCGCTGTGTATACCGACAGCCAGTCTGGGCGCTGTGTATACCGACAGCCAGTCTGGGAGCTGTGTATACCGACAGTCAGTCTGGGAGCTGTGTATACCGACAGCCAGTCTGGGCGCTGTGTATACCGACAGCCAGTCTGGGCGCTGTGTATACCGACAGCCAGTCTGGGCGCTGTGTATACCCACAGCCAGTCTGGGCGCTGTGTATACCGACAGCCAGTCTGGGCGCTGTGTATACCGACAGCCAGTCTGGGCGCTGTGTATACCGACAGTCAGTCTGGGAGCTGTGTATACTGACAGCCAGTCTGGGCGCTGTGTATACCCACAGCCAGTCTGGGCGCTGTGTATACCCACAGCCAGTCTGGGCGCTGTGTATACTGACAGCCAGTCTGGGCGCTGTGTATACCGACAGTCAGTCTGGGAGCTGTGTATACTGCTGTCCATGTGTGGCCCTCTGGGGGGCCCAGTCCCCGGCCTGTACTGACATGCTCCCCCCGGAATGGCACCTGGTACGGCGGCGGGGGCTCCCCGGGCAGGCTGGCCACGTCCGAATCGTTGAGCAGGGACAGGTCATCGGCAGACTGGGAGGACAGGCAGTTCCCCATGGCCCCGATCCCGGGGGTGGGAGGGGGACTAGGGCCGCCCAGGGACTCCCCCACCAGGCTCCGGGGTATTTACAAAAACCACAGGTCCCGGAAGTAAGACTGCTCTGAACTACAATTCCCGACATGCTCCCCGGCTGCGGATAACAAAACATGGACAATAAAGTTTTAATGAACAATAAAGTCTTATGGAACAATAAAGTTTTGTTGAAGCATAAATCTAACTGAGCATGCGCAGAGTTTAAATGTCTGGTACACCCAGGGTTATAGAGTTTGACTCTATATAACTACACATTGATGGGCAGCAGCTAGAACCTGCTATCATACAGTATATAGCATTCAAATGCTACAGCCAGTAAACCCCTAATCACATGAAAAAATATATACATAACACAGCAGGGAAGTACTTTTCATGTCCTCCTAATCAACAGGGAAAAAATATATATAACACTGCAGCATATGAATACTACCTACTGAAGGGCAGTACTTTTCATGTCCCCCAAAATCAGCAAGGAAAAAATATAACACTGCAGCATGTGAATACTACCTACTGAAGGGCAGTACTTTTCCTTTTTCCACTAAATCAACAGGAGGTGGGTATAACACTACAGTGTGTGAATTCTTCATACTGAAGGGCAGTACTTTTCATGTCCCCTTAAATCAACAAGGGCAGAGGATATAACACAACAGCATATGAATTCTTCCTACAGCAGGGCAGTACTTTTCATGTCCCCCAAAATTAGCAAGGAAACAAAATATAACACTGCCGCGTTGAATTCTACCTACAGCAGGGCAGTATTGTACAAACCAAAACTATTTACTTGGGGCACAGGCACAGCAGGGGAGTCCAAAACACAAATATAACACCTGCTGGGATTTAACAGTGGGTGGCGTTTTCAATTAAAAGAGGGGATTTAGGACAAAATGTATAACCTGCACATAGAGGGAAAGCAAGGGTTAGTATGAGGAAATACTGTTACAGAAGAATTATAGGTACATGGAATAGCCTAACAGCAGAGGTGGTAGACACATGAATGCTTTATAGAAGGCTTGGGGGAGTCACATTTCTGTAACAGCAGTGAATGTCCCTGTCTGACTAATATTAAGTATATATGTGTCTATTAGATGCATGGATGGATTTTTACATTGTGATATTAATTATGTTTACAGTAGTTCAGACACAATTCTCGCCATTTAGAGTTTCACTGAAATCCCAATCATATTAGGTAAACACGCTGAGCTGGCTTAACTTATATTTGTTTAACATTATCTATCACTTTGATCCACGATTAATTAGTAAATCGCCTCATCCTTAGACAGAACAAAGTCTGTCAGATCTGTCAAGCAGTATTAAAATGATTGTAAAACAGATGGCGGGGAGGGGAGCCCTCAGTCTGTTTCCTAAGAGATTTGTGAAGCTTAAGAGATAATATAAGTGTATTATTTCTCAGAGGGATGACCTAGCCTAAGGCAGCTGTGCTTACTAGGAAGGGAATCACATGAATTGAAAGGCCTAACTCATTCATTGCAAGTTTTAGCAGTGGTGGACCTAATGTAGAGAGGGCCCTGGTGCAAAAAAACAAAAACATTTGAGCCCCCCTATAGAGAAGGGATGGTCAAAATGTAGAACTCCAATTGTCATAAAACTTCCACAACGCTTTGCAAGCTGAAGCTGTCTACCATTTGCCCATATTTGCAGGGTTGTGTTTGTGAAAAGTGACTGCGTGTGTATATAGGTGTGCTTTTGCATGTGTGTGAATGTTTGTATATTTTTGTATAATGCTGATGTCTCCATGCAGGGATATATTTGTGTGTAGTATTGATATTTGAATGCAGGGGTGTATCTGTTTATAGTGTTGGTGAATGTAGAGGTGTTTTTTGTTTAAAGCTGTTGTTTGTATGCATTGGGCTGTTTTATGTGCAGTGTTGGTGTTTGAATGCAGTGGTGTGTTTGTGTTTTTGTGTGTAGTGTTAAAGTCTGAATACAGGGGTGGGTTGGGTTTGTGTGTAGTGTTAAAGTTTGAATACAGGGGTGGGTTGGTTTTGTGTGTAGTGTTGGTGTTTAAATGCAGTGGTGTGTTTGTGTGTAGTGTTAAAGTCTGAATACAGGGGTGGGTTGGTTTTGTGTGTAGTGTTGGTGTTTGAATGCAGTGGTGTGTTTGTGTGTAGTGTTAAAGTCTGAATACAGGGTGGGTTGGGTTTGTGTGTAGTGTTGGTGTTTGAATGCAGTGGTGTGTTTGTGTGTAGTGTTGGTGTTTAAATGCAGGGATAAGATTTTCAAGTATTATGGTTTGAATATAGAGGTGTGTTTCTCTATAGTTTTGGCAAAGGTAATGTGGGTTTGTGTGTAGTGTTGGTCTGTTAATGCAGTGGTGTTTTTGTTTGTGTGTAATGTCATTGTGTGTGAGCAGGAGTGTATTCACATATAAACAACATTGTCACACAAATGCAGATTGCCACACACAGAAACACTCAAACACTGCCACACTGAGATAAAACAGTTGCACACACAGAGTGACTCACATACACATACACAGAGATGGACACACTTGCAGAAATCCACACTGACACACATGCAGACACACACACACATATTGACAAACTTGCAGATATGCACACACACTGACAAACATGTACAAATACACACATTCTCAAACACTGACACACAGATTCTAAAACATAGACACGCATGAACAGATACACACACTGACCATATCTCCAAGGCCCTTGTGGTATGTACTCGTGTTCCCTGGGCCCTTGTGAGACTGTCTCTAAACTAATATGTCCATACAGGCTGCACACTGTCTCTCTAGTTCCAAGACAGGAACTACCAGCGTTGCCAGAGAGGCACCTGACTATACCTGGCATCGGCAGCCCCTCTGGCCGCTGTGACCCTGGTGCAGTCTCTTGAGTCTCAGCAATGGATGAATAGAGACACATTTTCCACTGATACAATTGCCCATAGTATAAATCATAGATGATATTTGATGGGTTGTTACCCGAAGTGGTTTTAGTGTCTGGAGTCCCCTGGTGCTCTTCTTCCTTTCAGTGATATTATTATTATTATTATTATTATTATTATTATTATTATTATGAAATTGTACTAATGCTAAACAAGAGTCACCCACAGCCCATTCCCTTTGTGCTGCTTGGGTTAATGAGTGTAGCGATACTTACCTGCTTGACATCGATCAGCTCCCCGTGGTTTGCACAGGCTGATCGCTCCATGCAGCCATGTGGCTTGAGACCTGGAAAGGAACAGATACTTAGCCATCACTTCTCTGCATTCTCCGGTGCCAAGCCTCTGCTCTCTGCCGGCATTAGTTCAGACGCTACCCGCTCTTAGGGCGCATCCTTAAATAGATTCAGAATTAGTGACGTTACACCCTCCCTTACAATGACTGCGTCATCTAGACAACCTCATGCTTTTTGGAGTTACAGAGATTATGTGGACCAATCAGAAAACATCTGAGCCTATATATATCTTGTTTGTACCCTTACTCATTGCCCTATCGTAGTTTCTGTTGCGTTACATGTTTTGTGCTTTAAGTGATTCTCTTGTTATTTCCTGTGATTGACCCTGACTTCGTTTTGACTTTGAATATTTTTAGTATCCTGACCTGGCTTGTATATTGACCTGAGTATTTCTATTATCCTGAGCCAGTCTGTGATTCGCTGTTCGGTATTTCTGTATTCCTGACCTTGGCTATTCCTGCGTTTGTTACTATCTTCTTATTTGTTAAGTCTGGCCACTCTAAGTCCTGGTAATATGGCTTTTGGACCCACATTTGTGGGTTTTCTATTTTCTGGGAGTTAGAGTAAAGACCCTGTGACAATAATGAATCATTAGCCTGAGTCACAATTCATTCCTGTGATTGGCTGAGAGTGTCAGCTGACTGCATTCAGACTATCAAGGTGCCACTGCAGGTATGAATCGGTATGGATAAAAGGAAGTGTGTAATCTCTGCCTTAGACACATCTCCTGCGGGGGTGGAGCTATGGGGAGCCAGTGAGCCTCATTCAGTGTTAAACTTCTCAAAAATGTTTTAACACTGAATGGAGGGACCGTGCAAGGGCAATCCAGGCATTATAACTAATTCAATTACCTGAAATGGTTATAGTGCCTACATCATCCTTCCCAAGTGTCCCTACTTAGGATGGGCAGTCCCTGTTTGGGCCTGACCTCTTTGCATTCTAATGTACCTCTTTTCTTGGAGCTCTATATTGTTGGTTTGTCTGAGGGTATAACAGTGCTCTACAGCAAACATACTGACAGTAATGTGTCTTGTCTTTAAACTACAATAAATGTGCCTAGAAATAAATCTGTGTGAATAAGATACATTGTTTAATTTTAGTTATAAATATGTTGCCTAAAATTTCACAGAACTACATTGGCCACACCTTCGCTCACACCCCTAAAATGAAAGTGTCATTCTATGTCCATTTGAAATGTTGGGAGGTGTGATACAATGTCACCAGTTAATGAAACAAATTCACTGTTAATACCTAAAGGCAGTTACTGACAGTATTCCAAACAGTTTCAAACAGACCAACTGCTGTTTGCAACTGTGAACTGTTCATTTACCTTCACAGCTAAGGCAGGCCGGCTCCCATACAGATTGCATGAAACCAGTTGTGGAACTCACTGGCATCTTGGAAATCTCAGATTTATTTTAATTTTTTTCCCTGTCGAAGTTCAAGAAGAAAAGTGACCCTTGTGTTAGAAATAGGAAAGGTGACGTCCTTGATGTACAAGTGTAGTGGCTTTTTTTTTGTATAAAATGTGACAACATACAGCCTAGATCATCAAAACAAGGTCATAAAACATTATTATATAATAAGCATTTATATATTATATATTATTGTATAAGAAGAAGCTTCCTTATACCCATATGGGTGGTATCTAAACATAAGTAAATTTATATTTGATTTGGGATATTCCCCATGGCTATTTTAAAAGGTTATACTGATTCCTGGTTTTCTGTCTTTATCTCATTTCTTATCTGCTTCTAAATGCTTGTAGATGGTGTCTGTTTGACATTAAAGGGACACTGTAGGCACTATAACTGCTCCATCTCATTGAAGTGTATATAGTATCTTGAGTAGCCTGTGGCCTTCCTTCCATTGTTAAATCGGTTTTAA